GGTCATGGTCACTGAGCAAGGCAGGGTCCGGTGAAGGGAGGGCACGGTCTGGGCTCAGTACCAAGACTCCAGAGAGTGGCAAACATTCTCAATTGCTGATGCCCAGTCAGGGCTCCCCGGGCTGTAGAGGAAGCTCAGGTCGACCCCCGTCTGAGCCAGGGGGCTGTGAGATATCTACGGCCACCTAGGAACTGGCATTTAGAGTCATTTTCTGCACTTCTTTCCTTGGATTCTGCACGCACCTTTTCTGGGAGGTGGTGAGTCAACCCACTTCTAAGTCAGGTGGTGACTTAGATGGGGAGAAACCAGTGTGTAGGGAAATGCAGAGTGAGTAAGCATGCCCGTGATATAAGCCTCACGACCAGAGTTCTGCTCAGAGTGGCCACACGTCCCAGAACAATTAGTAAGAAACCCCTTTTCCTCAGAAGTGTCCCATTCTGGAGGATGAGTTTTGTGGCATCATACTCAGCATCAAAAAGGAGCAGAACGGAAGAGAGCTGGTGGGCTAGGTTTGGGAGGGGGCAATACAGGACAGTGTCTCCTGGACTGGGAGGCCTGTGGACCTCTTCCCTGGGCCTTCAGAGAAGGCTCCAGACAGTCCACTCACTGACTTGTGGAGGGTGGGAGGTGGGGCAGGAAGCCCAGAGGGATAAGGAGACAACTGGTCAAAACTGTGTTTGTCCAAATGTTGAGAGAGACAAAATACCAACCAATGTAAAGTTTTAATTACTGAGCAGTCCCTTCTCTCCTTTCTTCATCTGCCTACTTTAAAGATAGTGTACCAGCCTATGGATTACAAGTGGGGAGGGGTCATGGTGACCCTCTCCTCGGAGTCTGTGTGTGTTTAATTTCCAGATCTTGCAAACAAAGTTGTATTCTCAGTACTTAATACCACAGAACGTTCAATAGCAATGCAGTGGTCTGTATTGTTGATGGACTTAACTTTGTACTATCCAGAAGGACCAAGACATGACCATCACTGAGGATCAACTTTGAATTGTAAAGCACCAAGAAATTTCTCCCAGAGCTAGGAGGTGACCCTACATTTTCATGGGGAAATCTTTATGCTGTAATTTTATCCCTGCACGTGGGTATTTCTGAAGGTCTCAAAGTCTAGTTCGCACAAAGAAGAGGGCTGGGAAGCATTTCCTAAACTGGTGTGTGGAAGAGCATTGAGAAGACATGCCCTGAGACCCTTCCGTGATCAGATGAGCTGGAAAACAGCAGCCCAAGTCCTGGACTTCTCACAGCCCTTGCTGCTCGTATGTCATACCGTGACTCCACGCTCTTTCATGTGCCGATTTGGGAACTGATCATGTTGACACCGTCTGCTGCTAGGGGAAGGACTGGGTTCCCAACAGAGTGGTCCAGTTATCTATTTTCAGGCAGGAGCAGGTGAGACTTGGGGCCCAGATCAGTCTGGGTTCAAATCCCAGCTCTATTTACTGAGCAAGACTTAACTTTTCCAAACCATGTTAACACTCCTCTGTTGCCCCTCCTCCTGGACTGACCTCTCACTCTGCCCCTGCTCTGGATACAAATCGGGTAGGAATGGAGGTAGGTGCTGTCTTTGGGAGCTTGTCAATTGTTAAGGGAGGAGCAGTCGGTCCACAGAAAAGGAAGACAGAAGCTTGACTCTTTCCCACAGCTCTTTCCCCGACAGGGCCCTGGCTGTCCAGTGGAGGCTTCTCTCTCACCTGTCTCTGCATTGTTTCTTATAGCGTATTAGTAGTTTTTAACTCTGGGCTACATGCTCCAAATATTTTCCTCCACTCATTCTGCAACCTCTTTTTTCTCTCTCTCTCTCTCCCCCCACCAACCCCTTCTCTCCTCCCTTCTTGCAGTGGGTTGTGTGTGTGTGTGTGTGTGTGTGTGTGTGTGTGTGTGTTTTCCCTTTCTTTCAGAATGTGTTCTCTTCTTGTGATTTTTTTTTAAACCTGAGTCACTTTCTTTAATTCTTACCTCAAGCCTGAAGCCAGGCTCCTAGATAACACCAGTGGTATGTGTGTGTGCATGTGCATGTGTGTGCGTGTGAGAGAGAGGGGAAAATTTATTTCCAGGACAATTACGACATTCACCTGGAGAAAAGTTTGAGGTCTGTCTTATTATTCAGTGGCAATTACAAAGTATAGTGTGCTAAATATTTCATATAGGCTATGCTCAGTGTCCTTGTTTATAAAATTCTTAGCGTGCTCTGTGTCTCAGGAAATCACAGTCAGAATTGCACTGGATAATTCATGTGAACCACCAGCATTTTGCTCTTTAGCACTTAGAAGCAGAGGCTCCAAACTGCTTAGGGCAATGCTGGCCCAGCCGGGCAAGAACCACTTGTGTTTAGCGGTTGTAGGAGCCTCCAAAATAGGCAGGCGCTCTAATCCCCGCCAGCCTGGACACTGCTTGAGCTGGGTCTGCCCTCCCCTTGGCAGCCTCCTGTCACAGGCCAAGCCTGACAAAGCCCAGAAGACCAAAGTTTCAGGAGCTGCCAGAAAAACCTCAGCATTTGTTTGCTCCTCGTGCCCCAGACCCAGGTGCCAGCCCCGGGGACAGATCTGGGCCTGTCAGGAAATCCATGCACAATCTCTGGTGAACTTTGGATGGTACTCGGGGCTGGAGTTCAGCAAGGGACATACGGGTGGGGCTAAAGACTTTGTTCCTGAAGCCCCTTGAGCTCCTGGGGAGGTCTCTGGGCAGGTCCCTCCCCTCCCATTGCCCAGACCTCGGGTCCTCTGTAGCCTCTGTTTTGTGGCACTGATTAGCAGCCCCGGGCATGGGTAGTTTCCATCATGTTTGTGTCTGGCCTCCCCAAGCGGACTGCACAGTGACCTGGGATGGCTGAAGATGTGCCGATGGGGTAGGGACCAGCGATCCAGCCCAAGCCCATTGCAGTTTGTCACACTGAACATAATTATTTGTTTTGAGTTGTGGATTCCCAGCTAAACCAAAACAACTCTGGGTGGGGATTCTGCCCCAGTTTTGTCTAATGTACATCATGTCCAGCACTTTTATAGCGCCAAGTACAGTAGATGCACAGCCAGTGTTTGGGCTTCAGTGCCCCCCCTCCATGAAACAGTAGCTGGCCAAGGACCAGACACCCTCAGCATCTGAGCAGGAAGGAGAGGAGGGTCTCTCTACCACCAGGACCCAGCTTTTCCCAGCAAAAGGCCTCTCAAAAGAGGGAAGGCCTGAGGGCACCTCTGCGGCAGAGCAGACCCCAGGCTCTGTGGCACTGACCCAGCGTCCTCAGCCCGAGCTTTCTCTCCAGCAGTTGGGAGATAAAGCCTGCCTCTGGGCAGTGCCCAGCCAGTGTTGCCAGCCATGACCCTGGCCTCTGACTTCGCTCCCTTCTTCGTCCTACTTTCCCCCTCTTCCTCTTCACCCTTCTCCCAGCTCCCACCAGCTCACCCCTCCCTGTGGGTGGTTCCCCAAGATGGATGGAGCAGGTCAGGGGAGAGGTCGGAGTCCTTGCCTCTGATTGCGTCAGTTCTCTGTGGGGAAGTCCGGGGTGGGACCCTTGCACCTCCAGGCCCCCATTTTTCCTTCGGGCACTTCGGGTGGGAATAGTCCGCCTTGGTTCCTGGGAAGACCCACTCTAAATTTGGATGCCTAAGAAATCGGGTTGAGTTTGTTTCCCTTTGTGAAGTAAAAATTACTTTTAGGTGGGCACAGATGGAAGTGAGGAGTTAGATTCCCATTCTTAGGGTTAGGGCTCAATTCATCATGTGCTTTGTGTTGCTAAAATGATCGTTAGTCACTATTTCCCCCTGAGCAGCCACTCTGAGACCTCATCAGTGTCCTGCCAAACTTCCTGCCAGTTCCCCCTGCCTGCAGTCTCGCAATGGGCCATGTCTGAGGGGGGGCAGGCATTACAGTTCTGAGCTGGCCCCCGTGGTGTGAGAACAGGTCAGACCCCGAAATCTCCCAGCTCTTTTATCCATCCCGCTGTCACCCCCTAACCAGCACACCAAAGTTTGTGTCTGGTCTTCCCCATGCCCTCCCCACCCCTCCAACCCCAACAATAATCCATCATTGTTATCTCATTTGGTGTTTGCAAAGCACTTTACAGCCATTGTTGTGAGTTTTTCCTCTTATTTGCCAAGTACTTCACAACTATTATGACAAGTTTTTCCTTTGGATGTGGGGTAATGCTGACCCACTTCCTAGAGCTGGCTTCCCACTGACTTCTAAGTGGTTGGGCCCATTCCCTTGGTGCCCAGCACCGGGTAGGTGGGGCTTTCATAAGTCCAGGCCTCGGCTGTGCCCTTCTGCATTAGAAATCGGGGTTAGAGATTGGCTTCAGACTGCTGCCCACTGCCCTCAGGAAATTCCACCCTATGCACTTCCAATGAAGGAATAAGAGGTAATTGTTACCAAGGTACACACCTCCAGATATTAGTGCTGGTCTGAGATTCCCGGCCTGTCACCTCCCATTTTTCCCAGAGTGAGTGCTGAGAAGCAGGGTTTGCATTCCTTTCTCCCCTTTCTTCGGTGTGGGGTGGGGGGTAGGGGGTGAATAGGTTTCAAGTGTAAGAGAGCAAAATAATTCTTTCCTCCATAGCGGACTAGGAGTTTCTTGAAATGAACAAAATTTGCTTCATTTTTATTGTTTTAGTCAGGTTTTTAAACTAGGCCGTGATGACATTGCGGAATGGTGTTTTGTTTTTGTTTTATGTTTGTAAAGGAAAGTCCATACAGTCGACCTAGCCTAACAAAGATTCCTTACGAGACACTGCATGTGTTGCAGTTTTAGTTGAACATGTTGGGTAAGCATTTTCCTCCGTCGTTACATTGTCTTTATAATAATCATTTAAAATTCTGCAACAGTTCATTGAGTAGGCAGGAGGGCAATTTGCTGGTACAAACTATGGAAACCTGTGCCGGTCTGAAGGTGCAGTGGGTTGTGGGGAAGCCATGGGATATCTGACGGGGCACTTGTAGGAAGCGCGGCCTTGACCCTCTGGTCATTTCTTCTCTTCGGCGGCTGTGTAACACCTGACTTTTCAATCTGGTTGGACTTCTGCACTTTCTACCCAAGACAAGAAGTTTCTGCCACTCAAATCCCCAACTTGGTTAAGGTGTGTTCTGAAAAGGAATGAGTAACACTGTTACTCATTATCGATATTCTGGCTCCACTTGCCCAAGTAAGTCATTAGCATTTTGAGAGTAAAACTCTCTCCTAGCTCTGGTGACATCTGTCAGAGTGCTTAAGTCACAGATGCTCAGTAAATGTTTGTCAGTGACAAACACGCTTTTCCCTAGCCACTAAAAAAGCTGTTCGACTGTGTCACCCACTGGGTGAGGCCAGTGTGAAGGAGTTTCTAAGGCAAACCTTTGTGTTGGCTTCTCAAAACAGCACAAGGTCTAGGGTTGCCCCAGCAGCTTCTTCAGTGAGATTCTGTCCCTACAAACAAAACAATTAGTGTGAAGAGAAAAAAAGAGGAATGGATTATGAGATTTTTATCTCTGGAACCTTCTTTAGATAAACTGGAACACAAGAAAGAAGCCAGATTGCTTATCTTTAAAAGGAGAAGATAATCTTCACTTGTGAGGAGTACACACTGAAAAATATTTGGAATGAAGTGGTAGAATGGGGGGGAGTGGGTGGAGGTATAGATTGGGCACAAATTGTTGGAAAGCTGAATGATGTTAAATAAAAATGTAATTTTATATTCTGGCCACTTTTGAATATGTTTGACTTTTTTCATAATAGAAAAAAAAAAAAACCCAGAATAAGAGGATTGCTTTAGGTAGTTGGGACTAAAAAAGTTCTCCATTCCCAGCCCTGGTTTTCTAGCAGGCTCACCATGTCTTGGTTCAATGTTGAGGCTGCAGTGCCATCTAGCGTTTATTGCGAACACTCAACAAAATAATGACCTTGCAAAGGCCCCTCCTGGGGCTAAGGTCCTTCTGTGAACTCTCCTGGCCTGTTCAGTTCCCTCAGTGAAGGCCTGTGCTGAGGGAGCAGGGCTAACCAGCTCCAGCAGGGCAGCCCGCACTGGCCTGGAAGTGAAGGTGGAGATGGCCATGTTGGCATTGAGCGCACAGCAGGTTGTTACTCAGTCCACGACACTGCCCCGCCTCAAGCCCAGGCTTGGGGAAGCAAGCTGTGCACAGGAGTCACCTCTTCCCAGGCCACTGCAGGCAGGTGACCTTGCTGGAGGGTTCTCAGTGTGACCCAGGTGCAAAAATAGCCTCCCTGTGACCAGTGTGTGCTCAGCACCCTGGCCTGAGCAAATAGCCCCTCACACCTGCACATTGTTGACTCTGAGTAGACACACAGCTACTTGTTTGCAGGTGCAAATGACTGTTTGTATACCCAGAGTTGAGGGGAGGGCCCCCCACCATCCTCTGCTTCAGCCCACTGTATCCTTGGAGCAGGTATGTGGGTCACAGAAATAGCAGAAGGTGCAACCTTAAACCCCAGGGCTGGGCCCTGGCGGAGGGAGAACTCTTGAAAACCCTCCCCTCCAAATATCTCCCCTCTTTACTAGAGGAGAACCCACTCTTGCTTCTGGTAGTAGGGCGGGAGCAATATGGACAGGGCAGCTCTATTTAGGGTCAAAAAATTTGGAAAAGATATAAACATTCTTCAAAACAGGTAGCATAGATATACATGGAGTCAGAGAGACTTCTGGAAGTTTTGAACCAGGCTTTTTAGAGATGGAAGGGGGAACAGCGGCAGCCCAGCCGATTTCACCCAAGAAACTAAAATGGGCAGGAGTGGAATTTATCAACAGTAAGAATCTACAGACGTGGAAGGTAGAGGTAATGGATGGGGGGAGGGCAGTGAGTGGGTGGCAAATGAGGGCGACTTGCCGTGGAAGTGTGTTTGCCTCAGCCGCTGCTGCTGTAATGGCCTCTGTATTTTATGTACCAGTAAGCAGAACACAAGTCAAATTGTCACACAGAATATCATGCGGGCATACTGAAATGAGGAAAGTGAAATACAGCCTTTTCTGGTAGGGCAGTTTCAAAATTTCAAAAACTTTAAAAAATATGCAGTCTCTTTTTGGTTCACTAATTCTACATCTAGGGGAATATCCTCATAACCAGAGATGCTAAGATTTGTGTGCAAAAAGATCAATGACAAAGGTTAAAGGTGGTGCATTTATGGGGGGGATATTACACTGCATTTAAAATGAGCTTATGAAGAATTTCTAGTGTGGAGAAGGGCTTTGGTATTAAGTGAACAGACAGGCTCAAAATTAGAGCCTGACCTCAGCCAGTCAAAAATAAGTGTCAATATATATAAAGTATTGCAAATATATAATAGAACAAAATGCTAATATCACTGCTGATCTTCAAGTTACAGGATTACATATGGCTTATATTTTTTTTACATGTTCTGCTGTTTTCTAACTTTTCTGAAGTAAATACTTATTTTTTCTTTTTTTTAAAGATTTTTATTTATTTATCTTTAGAGGGGAAGGGGGAAGGAGAGAGGGAGAGAAACATCAATGTACGGTTGCCTTTTGTGCGTCCCCTGCTGGGAACTGGCCGGCAACCCAGGCATGTGCCCTGACTGGGAATCGAACCACGATTGTCTGGTTCACAGGCCCGTGCTCAATCCACTGAGCTACACCAGCCAGGGCAATACTTATTATTTTTATTCAGAGGGAAAGGGGAATCTTAATTTTGAAAGGAAAAAAGAGAGTGGAGCTCAGTGGTAGGAGAGAACCTTGGGGGTAAAGGCCCCGAAGGAGGGAGAGATGAGGACCTAAGACCAGGCCAAGGTGGCTGCAGGCCCCCTTCCTCTCTCCTGACCGGGGAGAGCCCCGCCTGGGGGGCTGGGCTGTCCGAGGGTAAAACGTCCACCTCCCATGCCGGTGAGGTCCCCAGGCGATCCATCCTGCACTCCTCTCGAGGAAAGTGCCTTACTTCTTTGGTCTCTAGATTTTTCTCATGTAAGGCTAATGGGAATAAAGGAAGAATTAATCCTCTGTGTTCTTTCCCACCCAGTAGATATGTTCGATGACTTCTCGGAAGGCAGAGAGTGTGTCAACTGTGGGGCCATGTCTACCCCGCTCTGGAGGCGGGACGGGACAGGACACTACCTATGCAACGCCTGTGGCCTTTACCACAAGATGAACGGCATCAACCGGCCCCTCATCAAGCCCCAGCGCCGGCTGGTAAGCAAGAGCCCAGACCACAGAATTGCAATGGCCTTGGTGGGCGTGGGGACCACATCTCTCTCCTCTCAGCACTTGGCTTCAACGCTCCTACCTTGGTGGGAAGTGTCCTGGTTTTGAATTCTGGATTTTGAGTCGTCTTTAAAAGAAGGTGTGGTTTGAGGGGTTGGGTGGGTGGGTGTAGGCTTCATAGTAATTTCTTACACCTTTAGAATTAGCTTGAGCTACAAGTTTGTTCCAGACTGTTGACCTTGAACACATAGCCAGCTATTCCTCCAGCAAAATGGGTGTATTCTGGAACAACAAAGATTTGTGACTCAGAGCCATGTGGTCTCAGGGTGAACCCTGACAAGTCCAGATGAGGAAGGAGAGGAGCGTTCTTTCATAGAGGAAAGCGGGAGTTCAGAGGGGCTGCTGTAAACAGAGTCCACCGTCTCATGGTTTTTCATGGGCTGAGCTGACACAGTCTTGCTGAGGGAGGAGAAGACCCTCCTTCCACCTGCTGGAGTGGCAGAGCAGAAACCCACCTTCCTGCTGGAGGTGGAACTGGGGTCTCTCCTTGTGTGCGGTCACTGATGAGCAGTACTGCGAGAGAGCTCCCCCTACAGGCACTCCCGACTTCATTTTAAATGAGGTTTCTGTTTATTAATCTTCACAAGAACATCTCATTCAAGCCCTTAATTATGCAGAAGTGACAAGTGAGGTTCATAAAAGCTAATGGCCTGAGGTGACATGTGAGTGAGCCCAGACTTCTTAGTTCCCAGTCCAGCCTTGTCTTGTAAGGCCCCTGGGTTCCCACCAACCCCACGAGGAAGGTCAACTCTCCTTTACATATTGTTACTTACCCTGTTTTCAGTTGACCAGCCCCAAACCCAGGGAGGTTAAACAGTGTGTACTGGGCCCCGTGGTTGAGAAAGCGTTTGGAACTGAGTCGTTTGGTTCTTAGTTCCATGCTCTTTTCTTACTGCAAGTTGATTTTTTTACTACCAATATGACTGGCTTTCATGTGTACTAGGGAGGGAAGAACAGAGGCGATAAATGCTGATGTTTTCCTTTCTTGAGGTCCCACAGCCCATCCAGCCTCTGATGACACTGGGAGGCACCAAATCCTCGCCCACCACCTGTGCTTGGCACCTGGAAACCTCATTAATTCTACTTTGGGGAGAAGCTTTTCTGCTTACAGTGCCCAGTGCCCAACTGTGGTTTCCATCTGACATTGAATGACTAATAACGCCGTTAAAACCACAGCGAGGGTTCACTCTTCTTCTCTCACAGTGGGTTCCTCCCAACCCCCTGGCCCCGCCCCCGCCCCAGGACTGGCTCAGGTAAATGGAGGCCCTGGAGCTACCGCTGGTCTGAGATGCTCCTACAGGATTCTTGCGGCCTGATCCCACCACCCACGTAGGCAGGGCCCAGCCTCGCAGCACTCTCCCTGAGATAGGAGCAGCAGCACCTGCCTTTACCTTGGACTTGAAGGGTCTGTCTCCTGTGTTGCAGTCCGCTTCCCGCCGGGTGGGCCTGTCCTGCGCCAACTGCCAGACTACCACCACCACGCTGTGGCGCCGCAACGCGGAGGGCGAGCCCGTGTGCAACGCCTGCGGCTTGTACATGAAGCTCCACGGAGTAAGTAGTCCCTGCCTCGATGCAGGACGGCCACTGTGACCAGCTTCCACGTCTTTCAAAGCTCGTCACTCAGTTCTCACTTGTCTCCCTCCCTTCAGACTGTAACTTAGTTTTTTTCCTTCTTAGGAAGGAAAATGATGCTTAGCTGTGGGTGGAACCGCACAGACTCTGTTAGTCCATTCAGGCAGCTCAGCAGAATACCACAGACTGGGTGACTTCTAAAGAGAAAAGTGCTTCCCACAGTCTGGAGGCTGGAAGTTGGAGGTTGAGCGAGGGTCCCCTTCCAGGTCAAAGACTCTTCCTTACATGCTTTCGTGGGGCAGGGATGAGGGGACTCTCTGGAGTCTCTTTCATGTGGGCACTAATCCCATTCCCAAGGGCTCCACCCTCATGACCTCCTCACCTCCCCAAGGCCCCACCCCCTAATACCATCTTCTTGGGGGAAAGGTTTCTAAGGTGAAATTGCAGGGCAGGGCACAGACTTCCATACCAGAGCAGAAACACTGCTGGTCATTCATCTCTGACACTGCATAAGTCTAGTCCCAGTTTTACAAATGCAGAGACTCAGGACTAATCTCTTATACGGGAGTGTGACATAGGACAAAGGCAACAGTTCAATGGAAAAAGGACAGCTAAAGCATCATTATATTGACCAAATCCAGAAAACAAATGCCAAGCTTGACCTCCACCTCCTACCAAAAACAAAAACAAACTTGGGTGAATTATAGCTACAAAATGTGAAACATCTTTAAATAGAGACAATAAAAGATCAGAAGAAAATATAGGGGATAATACGTAAATAACCTTGTGGGCGAGAACTCGTTAGGCAAGTTTTCAAAACTCTTAAGCTGTAAGGTAAAGGTCAGGTGTATTTGATTGCAAAACATTTCATATTAGTGTGGGCAAAGTGAGAACCAATACACATATCAGAAAAAGGGTTAGTATTTCCAGAATACAGGAGCTTCTACAAAGCTTTTTTTGTTCTAATTTGCAACAATCTCCATGATACAGTGCTAAAAAAATCAGTGTAGAATATGGTACACAATGTAGCACCATTTTTTATGAAGAAAGAAGAAGAACGTAATTGACACACAGTTGCTTATATATACATAGAACCCCTTTAGAAGGATAAGCGAGAAACTGGCAGCATGCGTTGCCTCTAGGAGAGGCAATGGGAGAGCTGGAGGGGCACTTTTTTTTGCTGTGTAGCCCCTTGGTTCCTTTTAGATGGTGCATATGCATGTCTTACTTGTTCAAACGTAAGTTAAACTAAAACAACACAAGCAAACAACAAAAAAGGAGATCCCGCAGGATAATAAGAAAATGACAATCCGTCTTCCATTTTCCAAAATGGGCAGAATATATAAACAGACAACTCAACAGAAGAGGCTCAGGTAGCCCCTGAACATGTGTAGGGAGGCCGGGCCTCACCGAGAATCAGGGAAATGTACATTAAAACCATTTTGAGATTCCCTGTCTTGCCCATATGTTTGGCAAAAATTAAAATGTGTGATAAGCTGTAGCTGTGGCACGGTTTGGGAAAGCGGATACTTTCATGCTGTCTATTGTTGATTTCTATGTGAATTACTGTAAATATTCTTTCAGGAAATTAGCAGTACTTAGGTCAAAAACACACATACCTTTTGATGTAGCAGCTCTACTTTTAGGAAATTAGCCTATAAAACAATAAAAGAATCAGTATATAATGATGTATTGCTGCAGTGTTTGTACTGGCAAAAACTAGAAGCAATCTTCAAGCCTCATAAAGGCATGGCTGATAAATTATGGCACACCTTATAATGTAAAATGGTGCATAGAAATTAAAAGGGAATAAGTCTGGGTCATGTACCTTGATCTAGACTAATGAAAAAGACACATTGCAAAGAAATATATCTGTAGTATGACTGCATACCATGGAGGTGAGGGTACAGTAAACACACACACAGATACAGATGGAAGGATGGGCGGATGCATGAATACATACATGTATAGATATGTACACGTGTACACATGGTTACAAAATTTTTTTAATGTAAGAAATATAAGCTATTAGTCCAATTGCCTCACGGGGCCAGGACTGATGGTGGTAAGGTGGGAGGGGTTATTATTAACCTACTCTCATGCATGCTTTCATGTTATAATGAGCAAAAGGTGGCTAAAACAGTTACGAACATTTATAACAAAATACACTTGTTTGTTCATATTTGTCGAATCAATGTAACGGTGAAAATGGAGAAAAAACCTCCAGGAGGAAAATGGTTAAAGAAATTATTGTTTTTCACTGGGGGAGTGTTAAAAAAAAACGAGGGAGGAACATTATACAGGTATAAAAAGATCGTGTCCTCAAAAAAGTAAAGTAGAACTACCATCTGACCGAGCTAGCCCACTCCTGGGTGTGTAGCCAAAAAGAGCTGGAAGCGGGGTCTCAAACAGCTGTTATTCACAGTAGCCCAAAGATGGGAGCAACCGTGTGTCCAGTGATGGGTGGCTGGATAAACACAATAGAACGTTGTTCAGCCTTGAAAAGGAAGAAAATTCTGACACCTCCTACCACATGGATGAGCCTGGAAGTCATCGGGCCAAGTGAAAGAAGCCAGTCACGAAAGGACAAACACTACATGATTCCCCTTATGTTGAGGTACCAAGAGTGGTCCAGTTCAGAGATGCAAAGTAGAACGGTAGTTGCCAGGCCTGGGGAGGAGGGCGCGGGGAGTTACCGAACAGGTACACAGTGTCAGTTTTGCAGGATGGAAAGTGCTCCAGAGTCGGACGTGGGGATGGCTGCACGGCAGAGCGCCTGCACCTAACACTCCTGAACTGTACACTTAAAAATGGCTATGGTGGTAGAGTTGATGATATGTGTACTCTACCACAACTTAAAAAAAAATACTCAGGTGGGTGAGGACAAAGAAAAGGGGCAAGAGTCTTCTGACGTCGGATGGGCTTTGAGAGAGTTTGAGTACACTTTCCCCAAAGGTGGGAATACTCTCTCCTCTGACTCTCAGTTGACTAGAAGGCAAGTTCAAGTTCATGCACACAGGTGCACTTCCCTCTTAACCATTCCATGTTGATGTCTCTTTCGTGGTGATTGCTTTTCTTTCAGTTTTTATTAGCCCCATATGGAACACGAGCATAGACCAGGGGTTAAAAAAAACCAGACATGGGGAAGGCACAATATTTTATAATATTAGAAAGATGCAGACTTGCTCCCAGATACTTGTTTAGGCCTCTGTGAGTGGCTCAAGGGCAGGACACCTGACAATCACTACTTGTTTATGAGACGTCAGATGGGATAAAAGTATTGTCCACAGACAGTTTCTCTCAGCACGGGGCCATAGGTCGGTCTCTGCAGCACAATCTCTCGCTGCTGCCATGGAAACACCACTGTTCGCTCCTGTCCGATTCAAGGCAGTGAAGAGCTGCCCTAAGGAGGTGACTGTGCATCCTGACTCACTGGGACTGTACCTCCTGTCCCTTTGCGCGCCCACTTTCTTGGCACAATTATTAAGATGTAACCACCACCTTTCACTCTCACAGCGTCCTGGTGTGGCTGGTAAACAAAAGGTTTTGGCACACACTGTTCCCGCTGCCTGAAACCCCTGCCACTGTCTACTCTACACCCTCCTGCAGCTCAGACGGCGCCTCTTCAGAGAAGCCTTCCTTGATGTGCTGTGTGCCCCTTCCCCTCCTCCCCACCCCAGAATGCAGTGCTCCCACATCCCCTGAGTCTGATTATTTTCTATTAGCCTGTCATTCCCACTAAAATGTCAGTCTCTGGAGAGAGGAGTCTTCGTCCTTCAGCCTCTTACTTCAGGGTCTAGTATAACACGCAGCATGTAATAAAGGTGCTCAATACATTGTAAAAAATAGAATTGATTTCTTTCTCAGGAGGAGTTCCAGGGGCTGATTTAGTCTCAGCCCCAAGGATTATAAGGGAATCGAGTAGATGTTGCCTTCCTGTACTATGTGTGTGTATGATGTGTTTAAGTACCGTAGCTGATCTTGTCCCAATGGAAAACCCTGATGTGTTGACTTGGAATCCCCTAGGTTCCCAGGCCCCTTGCCATGCGGAAAGAGGGGATCCAGACCAGAAAACGGAAGCCCAAGAACATTAATAAATCCAAGACACCAGCAGGTGAGGAAGAGAGTTGCGTGTAGTTGTACAAATACGTCTGTAGCCCTTGGAGTGTGTGAGAATGTGTTCTTAGGTGAGCCATCTGCCAAGGTATGATGTTAGCATCGACCATCCCAGCTATTCAGGACGAAATGAATAACCCAGAATAAAAGCAACATCAGTATGGAGCACTTTTGCTCCTTTCAAGCAGGCTCAAGTCAGGTAGTGGCCGGATCACTGCCAGGTGCAGAGGCTACAGTGGGCCAGCTGGATGGTTGGGGGCCTGAAAGAAAGAGGAACGTTACCTGGTCCCTCCACCTTCAGGATCTAGGAGGACAGAGGCCCCTTAGTCCTGTTCACAATAGACTGACTGGTAAGCCGGTGTACGATTAACCCCATGTAGTACTCTGTGCTTTAGACGGTTTTTTCACAAATACTCTCCATCGATTCTTAAAGACCCCCATAAGACTCCATTTATTACCCCCATTTTCCAGATGAGCAAACTGAGGCTCAGAGAGGGCAGGGACTCAAACAGAGTCAGACAGCTGTGGCTGGGTAGGCAGATCAAGAACGGAAACCCGTACTTTCACCCCCCAGGGCCCATATGCTGTGGAAGATGCCACCCTGCCCTCTCAGTTTCCAGGTTAAGCCTGAGGCTGGCTTATGTTCTCTCTCAAGAGCACTTCCTCCTCAGTACTGCTACCAAGTTAAAGGTGTCTCTGCAAAATGCCATAGTCATAGAAGGAACCAAATCGGCCAATGTATCCTCTAGTCTGATGCATGACTGAGTCAGATGCACGGTCCCTTTCCACCGCTGAGGACACGGCCCAAGTTGTTCTTCCCAGATGTGGCGAGGGCTGACGCCTCCGGCAGTCACGCCTTACCGGACCTTTCCGTGTCTCACACCAGTGGTCCTCCTCCTTCCTCCTGTCCCCGCATTCTCTGTCAGTATAGCCCCCCAACCCCCGCCCATCCTGTAACTGCATCTCCTTACTCACCGTCACAGGGAGCGCAGGCATCGGCCCAGGTGTGGAAGCCCTGTCCGAAACCCAGAATCTAGGGAGCGAACCCTACCTGAACAGACGTGGCTGTTTGTAGTCTGTATTGGCCCTGCCTGTGAACATTCCCATTTTGCTGCATAATTATTGATGTATTTAAATACCATGTTGTCCCAGACCCACTGGAGGGGTTCTGTGATGTACAATATATACCCTTTGTAAAATTTTAAAAAAATTGGAATCCTGAAACACGTGTGGCCTCAAAGGAGTTGGGAGAAGGGGTGATGACCCTGTCATTTCAAAAAAGTTCCCTGGAAAATCTCATTTTGGGAACCACTGCCCTCCAGTGATGAAGGACCCCTGCTTCTCTCCCCAGCAAATGTAAATGAGCCATTAACAGAGACCCGCCCTGGCTGCCTCCAAGGACAGCCATCCGGCCATCGGGCCATCTGCTTATCCCCGCCCCTGGTCTGGGGGTCCTGACTCTGCCTCATTCCAGGTCCCTCCAGCAGCGAGAGCCTCCCTCCCGCCAGCAGCGTTTCCAGCAACTCCAGCACCGCCACCACCAGCAGCAGTGAGGAGATGCGCCCCATCAAGACAGAGCCCGGGCTGGCGTCCCACTACGGCCACAGCAGCTCCATGTCCCAGGTGCGCCCCTGTGCAGGGCAGCAGGCCTGCCCCGGGGAAGTGGGCTCCAGGGTACCAGGTGGCCAGGCCAGCACTGGCACCTGGAGCACATGGCCGAGGGGGCTGCCTGTGGCCCTGGGGACCCCGCCAAGGCTAGGGGCTGTCCGCCAGAGGGTCTATTTCAGCACACCCTGTCCAGCTACAATGATTTGGACACACAACTGAGACAAATGTTTGGCAGCTCCTCTGTCTCCTAAGTGAGGGGTGGTTTGACCCTGGCCTTGAAGGATGGATACGTTTTCATAGGAGAAAGGGAAGGAGAAGAATCCTCCTGGCATGGGGCAAGGTGTGTGGGTTGGGGCTGGGGAGGAGGTCACAGGCAGGTTGTCATTTCAGTGAGGGCCAGCGGCAGGTCCAACTTTCTTGTGTGCGCAGAAGATGGGCTGGCAGACCCCCAGTCTCTTCTTTCGGGTACAGTGGCATTCCCGCTCCTCCACTCCCTTCCCTCTGTGGCTCCCCTCCTTGGAGACCGGGTGTTCCTGGTTACGGTCTCCCATAACTCTGATCTCTTCCCCACACATCCTTGGGGGAGGCTGTGTCCTAACCAGCTCTGTACCGTCAGGGGAAAGGGCAGCTGGGTCTGCAGAACCAGAGGAGCCGGGAGCTGCTTCTGGCTGGGAGGACAGCTGCCGCTTGAGTGGAGGTCTGGTGGTGACGAGACTGTAGCACATGCCTCATGTAGCTGTCGGAGCCTTCGGAGAAGCCCGAACAGCCACCAACCCACAGGGGCCGGTTGCTCAGAAGCAGCTGATGACTCACGCAGGCCCTTCGCCTCCCATAGCACAGGGACAGAGAAAACAGAAGTGGTACTGGGTCCCTTGTCCTGCCCTTCTCCTTTGGCCTGCTCCTCTGATCCCTCTCCTAAGGGTGGGGGACTCTACATGATGGAGCTCCCCCTCTTCAGCCCAGACCTCCCTTCCTGAGCTCCCAGAAGTGATCCCATTGACCTCATCTTGCACTTTTTTGCTTGCAGACATTCTCAGTCAGTGCGATGTCTGGCCATGGACCCTCCATCCACCCGGTCCTCTCGGCCCTGAAGCTCTCCCCACAAGGCTACGCGTCTTCTGTCAGCCAGTCATCGCAGGCCAGCTCCAAGCAGGACCCTTGGAACAGCCTGGCCTTGGCTGACAGTCACGGGGACATAATCACTGCGTAATGTCACCTCCCCCCCTCCTCAGATTCCTGCAGACTTGGGACTGGGAGAATGGCGGGGAGGAGGCTCTGGGCTCCCAGCGGCCGGCCTGCTCTGCCCGGGAATGACTCCAGAAGAACACCTGGGAAGACACTTGAAGTCGATGATTTGGTTGGGGAAACGGAAGCTGGGCTTTTACCAGATGCCTTCTCAAGATGGGGGGCTGGGAAGGGCCCAGACTGGTCTGGACATACCCGCCCTTCACTAGGAGCACACGTCAGTCCCTTCCGTGGAGGCAGAGGCTTCCTCCTCATTTTCTGCCCACTTCACTTTCTGCCCATCTCTGATAAGAGATGAGATGTCCTTCTTCACCGTTCCATCACTGACCTGTGATGGTGGTTGTCCCCTGGTGTCCCAGCCCTGGGGGTCTGAGGGTGGGCAGAGGGGCAGGGTGCTGGGACCCCTGCTCCAGCCTGGGCCAGGGCGTCTGATGTGCCTTTGGAGGCAACAGGCTCCTCTGGGCAGCTGCTGCCCTTGCCCAACACTCCCCTCCAGGCTCCGCACGCCCCTGCCTTCCTCAGTGCTGAATCTTGACTCCAGAGGCGCCAGGGGTGGCACCCGTGTCGCCGGGTGCTCCGTCCACCGTGCAGCACAGCTTCGGCAACATCTCAGCTTGGCAGCTCGACCTCCCCCACATTTTTTTCCCCAGCTCACGGCCTCATTCCTTCCCTCCTTTTCTTCACCCCAAGGCCCCTGAAAACAAAAATTCCTTTCACTGCTCCAAGTGATTCTTCTCTGCCTTCAACTTGAACATGTTTCTCCCTCAGCGAAACAACAGCGTGGCAGCACTGTCAAACAGCAGCACCCCCTCCCCAGCCTGCCTCCCCCAAATCCTTCCTCCACCCCATCACACACGGGGTTCTTCTGAGTGAGAACAAAAAGGTTCTGCTGCTAAAGCAAGCGTGACTAACACGCATCTAAGACTTGACATCCTTCTGGAGAGGCTGCCTGGTGGCCACTCTGGGGGTGGGGGGCAGGGTTTCCCGTGGATTCTGACTTGCCTACGTGACGATATTGCTGACGCCACTTGTGTTCTGCGGAGCTGCGCTTCCAGGCCAGGCCGCGGGCCGAGTCCCTGCAAAGGGTGCAGTGTCCTTTCTCCAGCCCAGATCTCTTGCCCCAGAGGCGGAAAGCTAGGGATTTTGCAACAGAAACTCAAAGCAAACAAACACAACAAAACTCATGGCAAGAAAGGTTGCAGCCGAGAAGAGGAGACGCTGAGGTGGGCCTCGAGCACTGTCCGGCACCGGCCTGGAACCGGCCTTTCTCTGGTCTCCACGTGGCTGTTCCTCCATGTGGCTGGGACACTGGGGCTGGAGGGCTCCTCCTCCTGTGTCCCCCTCATCCACAGGGCTGCTGCAGACTGTGGCCTCCCTACGACGTCCTGCCCCGAGGCACCCAGCTCCCCACCCAGAAGTCCTACAGGCTGTAGCAGAGAATATCTCTAAACCAAGATTCTGTTTTAATGATCATTTACATGGCTTTCCTTCATAAAGGCCGCCGTCCTGTACCTTCCCTAACCCACAAACCTGTTAACATTGTCTTAAGGTGAAATGGCTGTAAAATCAGTATTTAACTAATAAATTTATCTGTACTCCTCTCTCCCTTCTCCTACCACAAATGTCTTTCCCTGGAGGTTTTCTGCTGCCCTTCTCGAGGCTGGCGGCAGCCACGGAGGCCCCTCCGCATGTCTGCTCACAGAAAACCATCTTCTACATTTGTCGTCAGCAGCGGGCCAGATCTTCCTCTTTACCTGACGGTGACCGGTGAAAGCCACCCTCACCCTGGCCCTGCCACTGAGGCTTTGGTTTCCTAAGAGAGGGTTGGATCACTTAACTAAAGTTCCTGAGGCCATTTCCAGAACCCCCCTTGGGGACAGCAGAGTGGGACCTGAGGCAAAGCTTAGGGGCAGTGATGTCTCCAGCCCACCTGAGTTAGGACTGTGCTGGAGGGTCCCCCTGGGATGGTGCTCTTCCACCTTCTGCTTCTCCTTTACGGCTTGATTCAACCCCGCGCCCCCCCCCCCCAGGGGCAAGTCACGCTCCACGCCAGTGGGGCAAGTCACGCTCCACGCCAGTGGGAGAGGAGAAGCACTTCTCTACCCATTCGTCTTCCCCTCCTCAGGCTACAGACTTGCTGAATCGCTTCCTCTTAAAGTGGGGTGAGGACTGGGGGCGCTATTGGCCCTAAGGCTACCCTCCGACTCTGGAACTTGTGGAAAGGGGTGCAGACGAGGAAATCTGCCCCCTCTCAGACCTGTGTGTGGTGGCTGCCTGCCACTCTCAATCAGCTGATGCCAAACCCAGCGGGTAAAACGGGTGGCCGCTGACTTTTTATAGTACCCGTGTTATTTTTGAGTTCAGAAAAAAACCCAAAACAAAACAATGGCAATCTTCTATGTCACATCAGGAAAGTTTTTACATTTGGTAAGGAATAGCCAACCCTCTTAAACCTAGAGACCACTCAGAAGGATCACTAGCCACTAGAAGTAACACAAGAGCTTAAAAGGCAAAACAAAACGTACCAGGATTTATGTTGGCCGTGGGAAGCACGTGTTTTCTGATGTTGAAGTCCTTGCGGAAAACATTTGGTCCCTTTCCTGTAGGAATGGCTTCCAGAATGAAATGATATACAATACCAGAAGCCCTTATATAGTCACAGCTTGTGCTGTGCCCCAGATGTACAGGCCAGTCTGCGTCAGCCCCCTTGCTCACCAGATTTGGTTGCTTTCCCAGATCCAACGTATCCTCAGAGGAGGTCGATTTTGATAACTCTAAAGGATGCAGTTCCCAGACAGTTGGGAAGTGGCTGGGGGTGGGAGGTGGGGGGTGAGTGAGGGCGAGCAATCCTGGCATCGTTAGAATAAATGACTGTCTTGCTATGGTGAGTGAAGTGGCCAGTGACATGTGTCCAGATTAAGAAATTTCTCACCTTCCCTTACAGTCTCTCCTCCTGCTGCGATAAAACCTTTGGAAGCACAGGCCAAGTCATTCTAATGGTTGGACAATGCTACTCCTCAATATTTGGCTTTTGAAGGCTAATAGGGGGTGCGTAGTAGCGGGTTTAGCTGTGATTATGTTTGGCTTGGATTGACAGCAGTGGTAATTAAGTTTATGTTAACTGAACACTCACCAAATGGAGCTGGGTGGGAGGCCATTTCGATGACCCAGGCCCCACCCCTGAGTCTACAGAACTTGACATGCTGACTAGGATACTGAGTGCATGAAAAACAGCCATTTGGAAAGCTGCCTTTGGAGTCGGGGTGGTTGGTTTGGGGTTTTTAATCATTTTCTGACACAGGACTCCAGTTTGCAACGTTGCCCTGATCGAAGCTAGAACAGAAAAATGCCATCCTCCCATGGCCAGGGACCAGACTCGAAGCTTCAAGTGTTAGCCTGGGCAGTAGTAGAACTTCCAGGTCTCTCTGCCCCTGGACACTTGCTTCTGTTTCTGACCCATAGCCTCCTGGGAATGCTGACCCGTAGCCTGCTGCTGGGAGAACAGTGCTGCTGTTCCCTATCACTCTGGCCCAAGCGCGAATTCTATCTCACCTCCAGTAGCTGCGGTGGTGGCATTTGCAAAAAGACTGACTATTCAGTAATAAAGAGAACTAGGTAATTCAAGTAAAGATGACATGAAAACAGACCTGCTTTTGCCAAATCCAGTGTCCTTTGAGTTTGTGCATTGCTAGCTCACTCTCCTGACTGAAGCCCGGGAGATTGTGGGTTTAGTTTTATAGACGTGACCACATAGCTGTGCTCTGGGTTAACAAGAACAGATGAGTCAGAAAAACCCTGCAAGTGCTCTAGGGCCCAGGCTGTGGGGGCCCTGCTTTGCCTGGGAAATAAACTTGAAACATACGTTTCAACCTTTCTTCCCCCTCAATCTGTGTTTGTAAGAGGTCTTTAACTAAGCCCTGGGCAGTTACAAAGTACTAGTCAGTGAATCTTATTGTAAGAAGTTATCAGAAGCTCAATACTAGTTGACTCTTACAATGATCGTTGTCACTTGTGCTGCCTCTTCTTGAAAATGGATTTGCTTAAATGACATGAATTGCAATTAGACATGTGAAAAATTTAGATTTATTATCCCCCCTGTCCTTAGAGCCACACTGAATTAGGTCTAGCATCTTGCACCTTGGACCAGCAGCTCTGAAAGCATCAGTGGGAAGAAAGGGGCTCATGTCTCACTGGTCTTACACATGCTTGTTGGCAAACCCTTGTTTGGAAGCACAGGCCAAATCATTCTAATGGTTGGACAATGCTACTCCTCAATATTTGGCTTTTGAAGGAAACCCTAGGGCCCCAAGATTTGAAAATGTTCCTCCTGGAGACTCCAGATTGATGTTCTCCAAGTGGAAAACAGCACCTCTGTTGTGACCTAAGTAATGAGGTTTAGAAATATTTCAGCAGCTATACTTCCAAATGAGCGCTGGGCCTCAAAACAGCCACCTAGGAAACTACCCGTTCCAATATGGCAGCCATTGCCCAGACAGGCGGGGACTCCCTGTGGACACTTCAGGACCCGCCCACATCAGCCTAAGAGAACCAGGTTGGTTGGTTGCTTCCTAGCCACATTTACTTTGGGACCCCAACTGGAATTACATCACTTGCCCAATTTTTGTCACCAGTCTTAATTCTAAATGCCCCTTCAAAATATAGAAATGTTTCATCAGCGAACAGCTACTGAAGAATAGTCTCTGAAAGCTAATCCCAGCGAAGAAAGCAGAAGTGATGGAAAACATTTTCAGGTCTTCTGGGGCTCCCACACTGTTCTCTTAAATCCATCCAATGGCCTTGGCATCTTCCCTCACAACCCAGCTGTGTCGAGGCTTGAGATGGACTGCAGCTTATGAGACTGGCACGCACTTCCAAGGCTTCCTGCTGCACATAGAATGCTCGGAGTAGGTCACTTCTGGAATTCTTGGAGTGGGTTTTTAACTTTCCAGGCCACAGACCTCTCTAAAAATGTAACAAAAGCTGTGCCTACTTTTCCAGAAAGGTGTACATAGCCTGAGATTTTGCACGCCACTGGAACTCTGGAAACTTCTCCCTATGTCCAGGGTGAAGAACTCCTACTTTCGGGCTCTGGTTTAGTCCAGTGCTGCAAGGCTGTGTTGGTCTGACTAACAAGGTCAGCTCTGTCTAGGGTGTCCTGGCATTCAATGGGAAAAGTTAGGCGCAGAGTGAATCTTCCCATTTAGCTGGGAAGTCAATCCATCAAACGGTCCCAGGGCAGCCATCAAGACCCCTGGAGCTGTTCTAGGCTCTTGGGAGGTCATGCAATCTAAAATCTAGCTGTTTACACAGAGACAGGTCTGAGGAATTCCTGGTAGCCCCTTCTTTACAGGAGCCTAAGGATTCGGGGAAAGTCAGTCTTGCTAGGTAAGGTTTCCATTAACTGGTCTGGGAGTGTCGAATGGAACAGGATAACTACACCACATCCACTGGGAAAAAGGATGCCTGAACTGGGTGCCTGACACTCTTACAGATCTAGAGGGGTCCCAGAGATAACCTGGTCCAAACCCTCTTGTTCCCTCATCATTGAGGGAACTTGCCCAAGGCCACAGAGCTGGCTGAGGAGGAGCTGCACTTACTGAGCACCTACCCTCACTAGGGAGGCTCTGAGATTGGAATCAAGGTTCTACACTCGCCACATGGGGGCGCCCACGTCTGCCTACTCTTCCTGTGTCCTTCAGAATCTATCAGCCACATTTTCAAGCTCAGATCAGTCCAGAAATTTTGCTAAAAAAAAAGTACCTACCGCTTATTGAGCACTACTACACATCAACACTGCTAGTAGCTCTATATAAGCACACAAAACATACATCATTATGATCAGGTTTTGCACACAAAGAAGATACTGGCCCACGGCTTCTAAGTCATCTGCTGAAGGTCACAGAACGAGTTTATACAGAATCAGGATTCAAACCACACTTATTTGATTCCAGAACTGGAGCTTTTATACAGCCCCCCCGCCCCCACTAAAGAGTGGATGCCTCGAAGCTGGAAACCCCACACAGCCTTTCGATATCTTTCTAGAAGTTAGTAAGATCCTTGGTTCCAAATTCTCCAATTCCCCCAATTTAGGCACAGTGAAAGAAGGGCCTAGAACTGCTGGGGGATGAGGCTTACTGTCCACGGTCACAGGCCCCAAAGAAGGCCACCTGGGATAGGCCCAGGAGCCTCACTCTGCCCTCAGTGCCCCCCAGGGGCCTCTAGAAACATTTGGCCCCTCCTTGAGGTGGTTCAGAATCCCCAAACTCTTGCCTTGGAAATATGATTCCTCACCAGATTCGACTGCTTTTCTCCTTTACTTCCTATCTTGGAGGCAGCTGTATTTTAACCGGTTTTCATGTGCATAATAACTTTAACCCTGTTGGAGAAACCAGGGGCATAAAGGAAGGGAGAGGAATTGGCTCCATGACCCTTAGAAAGCTGCCACTGACCTCCATGGTGCTGAGGCCCAGGCTCCTGTGAGCTTTGAGACTGCCCCCAATCCAGGAGGCCAATAACAATTATAACTAAAATGTATTGAGCTATTACTCTTTGGCAGGCCTGGTGCTCAGAGACTGATTTACCGTCTCAATAAACCCCTCAGTAGCCCAGTGAGGCAACTCACTCCAGGTTAAAGGTTAAATTATTTGCCCACACTCTGCCCATGGAGTGGCAGGATTTGGGCCCAGGTAGGTGCAGAAATAGTGTTCCAAAGTGCTGTTCCAATTACTCTTCCAGGAGTCTGCCCTTTTCCAGGCAGATTTCCCATCCTCATTACGCCAGAATGATAACGTACGTTTGCACAGTACTTTCCAGTTTATGAATGTTTTGCATCTAATAATCTCATTTCATCGTTCATTTAATGAATATTTATTAAGGATGTACCAACTGCCAAGTACTGTGCCCTAAGTCCTTGGCCAAGGGAGGTCCCTGGGCCAGCGGCAGCAGCTGGCAGCTTGTTGGAAAGGTAAAGTGTTGGGCCCTGCTACACAACTGAGTCAGAATCTGTGTTTAAACAAGATTCCCAGCTAGGACTTCTGCCAAGATGGAGGCGTAGGTGGAAGCACTGCACCTTCTCACACAACCAAGTTTAAAAACAACAAAGTTTTAGCAACAAAAACGCAGCCAAACTACAGAAAATTGAACTACACGGAAGTCTGACAACAACGAACCCTTCAGCCAAACCGGTAAAAGGGGCAGAGCCAGCAGCAGAGCAGGGTCGGGCTGGAAAGATCCACTGGACCAACCCGGGCGTGCAACCCAGGTGCGCCAGCAGCCGTGGGCAGATCCCAGGTGTGGAGAAGCTGGCGGACCCACTGAGGGCTGACCACAGTCACACATTCGAGTGCAGATAAACTGGTGAAGGAGCGAAGCGGTGAGACAGACCGTGCAGGCCCCAGTGGCCGAAAGTGACAGAGGGGACCGCCATTTTCCCTCTCTGACCCCACCCCCACATAAGCGTCACAAACCAGTGACCTGGGTGGTCTCTCTCTGACCTGCCCCCACATACAGCATCACAACCAGCAACCTGGGTGGCCCTGCCCTGGTGAACACCTCCTCCTACTTAACAGGCACAAACAGATCAAAACATGGCTCAAGAACAACTCAGAGCCCCAGAGTCGATAAATCTAAGCGATGAAGAAATAGCCAAACTTTCAGATGCACAGTTCAAAACACTGGTGATCAGGATCCTCACAGAACTGGTTGATTATAGTCACAAATTAGAGGAACATATGAAGGCTAAACTAATTGAAATGAATGGAAATGCACAGGAAACCAACAGTAATGGAAAGGAAACTGGGACTCAAATCAACGGAGTGGATCAGAAAGAGGAAAAAAATAACCAAACAGAAAAGGATGAAGAAACAAGAATTCAAAAAAATGAGGAGAGGCTTAGCAACCTCCAGGACATCTTTAAACGTTCCAACATCCAAATTATAGGGGTACCAGAAGGGGAAGAGGAACAGCCATGAGTGGAAAACTTATCTGAACAAATAATAAAGGAGAACTTCCCCAATCTGGTAAAGGAAATAGACTTCCAGGAAATCCAGAAAGCTCAGAGAGTCCCAAAGAAGTTGGACCCAAGAAGAAACACACCATGGCACATCATAATTACATTAGCCAAGATTAAAACGAAGGAGAGAATTCTAGAAGCAGCAAGAGACAAGGGGACAGTCACCTACAAAGGAGCCCCCATCGGACTGTCAGTGGATTTCTCAAGAGACCTTACAGGCAAGAAGGGGCTGGAAAGAAGTATTCCAAGTCATGAAAACCAAAGACCTACAACCAAGATTGCTCTATCCAGCAAAGCTTTCATTTAGAATGGAAGGACAGATAAAGTGCTTCTCAGATAAGATCAAATTCAAGGAGTTCATCATCACCAAGCCCTTATTATATAAAATGTTAAAGGGACTTACCTAAGAAAAAGAAGATAAAAAAGATGAACAGTGAAAGGACAGCAAACTCACAGTTAATAACAACCACACCTAAAACAAAAGCAAATTAAGAGGACAGCTAGATCAGGAGTGAACCATAGAAATGAAGATCACGTGGAGGGTTAGCAACAGGGGAGTGGGAGAAGGAGAAGGGGGGAGAAGGTACAGAAAATAAGTAGCATAGACAGTAGATAGAAAATAGATAGGGGGGAGGGCAAGAATAGTATGGGAAATATAGAATCTAAAGAACTTGAGACACTGTTCATGAACTAAAGGGGGGGAATGGTAGGGGAGGGGTGTGCAGGGTGGAGAGGAATGAAGGGGGAAAATAGAACTGTAATGGCATAATCAATAAAATATTTTTTAAAAGATTCCCAGCTAGTTCATATGCACACCAAAGTTTGAGCAGCCTGCTTTCTAATATTTCCATAAAAACACCATGGAAAAAATACCTCACTTTAATACATGGATAGATTGAGACACTGAAATAGAGAATAAGGGGACAGTGACCGGAGGGAAGAGGGAAGGGAAGTTAAGGGGAAAAAGGGAGAGGGATTTGGAGGAACAAATAGGAAGGACACAGGGATGAGAACTAAGGGGGGTGGAAATGGGAGGGAGGTGGGGAGCAAGGGGCGGGGGAGGCTGGGATGGGAGAAATGGACAAAAAAAACTGTACTTGAAAAATAACTACATAAAATAAAACAAAACAAATAAATACATGGATAGATTGAGATATTGTGACTTGCTTGTCTTCCCCCAGTAATGAAGCAATCCATGTTAAGAGCTTGGAAGAGCATCTTGCACATAATACGTGCTCAACAGACAACATCTGTTATTATGAACGACATAATTCAGCTATGCACCACTGCTTTTCTCAATCCATAGGCCTTTGGCCTCAGCAGAGGCTCTTAGGCACCATGCAGGATATGAGGCAAGGTTTTTGACTCTGGCTTCCTTCCTCCTTGGCTCAGCCAGAGTCTACAAAATGGGGGAATGGGGGCCCCAGAAGCTACAATTGGGGTATGCCTGATCCTAAAGCAGGGGCCATCCTGTGGTATGGATATTGGTCTCCAGGAGAGGCCGCATAGAGAAAGAGAGAGAGACCAGGAGGCTCTCAGGGGATCCCTCCTGGAAACTCCATGCCCTCGAACCTCATCCAGTCTGTCTCCAGGGCTCCTCTGTGCTGAGGACCCTCCATATCTTAATCCTCCCCTGCCTTCCTCTCATCACTTCCTGCCCAAGCCCCTTCAGTTGAAGGCTCTGGTACTGCTCCCTCTCAATCAGCAGGGCACCAGGGTAGGTGGGACTGTGCCTATATTCCTGTGCAGGCCAAGCTCCCCACAGGGCCCTCTTGGCTCCGGCCAGGGTGCCTGCTTTCCTGTGCAGGTTCCCCATCCTCTTGGAGCTAACAACGGGGGCATACTTATTTTTCAAATAGTCCACTATTTTATCTTCTTATTCCCTGAAACAAAACTTTAATATACAAATATAACCTTTAAGGCAACATTTGTTCATGCTAAAAATTCAAATAATAATGTTCAAGTTATATAAAGTTAAAGATCCCACCCTTTAAAAACTTCTTGAGAATTTCATGAAAATTTCTTGACAGCCCGTTTTCTTTTCACAGCGACCTAAGCTCGGATGCTGAGCACCATCAACGTAAAGGCTCGCCTTTACCAAGGTTTTATTCAGATACTTAATTTTTCTCTACCACCATCTGTCTTCGTTAAACAATAACTGTTCCAAAGTCGGTTCGCTTCTTCACTGTCACACAACCCCAGTCTCTGACTGCCTTCCTTCTACACCGCCCTTCACCTTACCTTTGGTCGCCGCTGGGCACACCTGAACCCAGACCCACAACCTCTCCGCCCTGCGCCCCTGCGCCCCCTGCGCCCCCTGCGCCCCCTGCGCCCCCTGCGCCCCTGCGTAGAGCCCGGCGCCCACCCAATGATGGCAAAGCCCCGCCCACCCCACCAAGGGGGACGAGTCAGGCCTAGTCTGCGCACACTCAGGAGCGGAGCTCCGTTCTACGTCCCCCACCCACCCACCCACCCAAACACGGTCACGTGCCCACACTGGAGCGGGGCTCCTCGTTATAGGCCCCCTTTCCTACCCTCGGCTACAGCCCAGCTCCCAGCTGCCAGAACGGCGTAGGGCGCTCAGCCCGGGGTCACAACCCGGCGCAGACGCCAGGCACCCAGTTCTCCCAGCTCCGGAGGCGGCGGGAGGGCCTAGCCTAGGGACTGCGGGCCCGGAGCCGGTGAGTGCAGCCGCCAGCCCCTCCTCCGCACGGTCGGCGCGGGCCGGAGAGGGCGGTGGGGCTCCCTCCCCGGAGGTGCGCTGGGTGCCCACCCCCATCATCTTGCAGGGCTTCGCAAGCTTTACCGCTGCCTGCTCTTATTGTCACCTTGTTACCAGCGGGAAAACTCAATTATGGAAAATTTTACAAGCATCTTACACGGAATCCGCAACCCTGACCATTTTTTTTTCTGGGAGGGCGCTTACCCCGGTTCTCCCTCCATTTTCTCCTGGGAGCTGCACCGGTGTGCCCTTCAGCCCTGTCTCTGCGCCCACCTCTCACCCCCCACCTCCCGCCCCGTTCACTTTAACCTCAGGCTCTAATCTTTTAAGTCTATGGTGGAGGCAGTTTGCTGCTCAGTCTTCCATCTCCACAAATATACCTAGAAGAAGCACGCCCTGTGTCCACGTACCTTCAGGATTAGGTGCATTTCAGAGGGAGGCTTTTTCAGAAGCCTCCTCGTTAGAGATGACCAGGACACGGGGAGCTGGTCGAGGTTCAGGTCCGCTGCAGGTCTTCTTGCAGCCCATCAGTTTTACCGCTGTAGACTCGAGAGTATCTTGAAAGGCCCATTAGGGGATTATCACTACATTTTAGTGACTGTAAAACACTCAGATTTAAAATACACATTGGCAAGTGTGCCGCTCACTGTGGGAGGGTATGGATTGTAAGAGACATCCCCATTTCAGAGACTTTGCAATGTTCTTTTGAGTTGTTTAAATAGAATAGCTGACACCACACCAGGTACCTACTCAGTTCTTTGGATTTTGGCCCTTAGAGAGTCTCGTGCAGGTAAGAAACAGGTAGTTAAGCAGTGTGCCCGGGGTAAGGGTGCGGGGTGGGCGGGAGGGGGACCCCCGTGTGGGAGAAGGGGGGTGCAGACCACTCGGACTCAAACACCTGCGTGCTTCACAGACTCTCAGTGAACTTGGGTGGTTTGGAGCAGAGAGAGAGAGGTGGAGGTAACCCTACATCCGAGGTAAAGTGGAACCCCAGCTGTTTCTCAGTTACCAGGGATAAAGATCTGTAGTTAAGCTGGGTGTGACCTCTCCCGGCTCTGAACGGACAGCTCCCTGTGTCTGCACTGGTCCTGATTCTGAGCTCTGCATGGTCGTCACATACACAGCACCCTTATTAGTGAGGCACAGTGATCCTGGGAGAGCTGGATGCCTTTCAGTCTTCGCTACCAATAGCAGCTCTTTCCTAAAAAGTGTGTGTGGGGGGCGTGGATAGATCAGCAGCAGTGGGTTGGATTGGTTTTGAGGGGAGGACAGAGAGTGTGGAGATGAGTTAGGGGCTACTGTCCAGGCTAAAAGTCACAAGGGGCCGCTCCTGTTCAGAGCTGCTGCAGGCTCCAAGTGGAAGGCTCCCTGAAGTGAACTGCAGGTGCTTGATTGTTTGCTACATGAAGGAAGGTGAGAGGCGCTGGAAAGGGAACCCATGCCTGGGAAGCTGGTGCAGCTGGTCAGTCTCTTTGACACTCCTCCCAAACCATGCCCCCTTTCGGGCCACGTATACTGTTAACGTTGGCACACACACAAAAATAACTGCTTGGAGCTCGACACCCATCAGAGATGCTAGAGAGAAACAGACACCTCATTTCTGCCTGCAGGGATGCCTGAAGGGCCGTCTGTGAGGAAGTTCCACCACTTGGTGCGCCCCTTTGTGGGGCAGCGGGTGGTCCGGACAGGGGGCAGCAGTAAGAAGCTGAACCCTGCCAGTTTCCAGTCCCTGTGGCTCCAGGACACCCAGGTGAGCTCTTCGTCTTCCTCACACAGGTGGGCTGGCTCCATCAGCACGTCCTGTGCCTCCCCCAGAATTTATCTCAACACCTTCCATGCCATCACTTCCTTGAGCCCAAGACAGCCATGCTAGCACTCCATGCAGCCCCTCCTCTTTCAGTCTGGTGTTTCTCGGCCGGAAGGGGGCGTCACAGTGGCCCGTGGGACTATTAAAAAAATGGTACAAACACTGGAGATTCGGATTCAGGGAGCCTGGAGTGATTCTGACGCTCCAGCTGACTCTGCACCGTTGCTTGGGAACCACGCTTCCTCCCAGGAGGCCTCAAGGACATAAGCAAAGAGCATAGTCTTCTAATACAGTTTTTAACCTGGCTCACCTTTGCCCTGAGTGTAAGTCTGAATTCCCTCAAGGCACTCCCAGGGTTTACCCTGCCCTACATCTCTTATCTAATATCGAATGTTCTGGAGCTCCTCTAACAAGTCCTTGCCCAAGGCCTTGAATTGCTTCTCCCTTACCTGAACAATTCTTCCTTGATTTTCCACCTCTGCCCCCAGGCCTGTGTCCTCGTGTCACCTCGGTAATTCTAGTCTTCTGGATTTAGCCTGACCCTCACACTGTCTGAGAAGCTTGCATTGCCTGCTCTGGGCTGGGGAGAGCCTTCTCCTCTGTGTTTCCATGGTGCCCTCTGCTTCCCACCGTTGGGCCCTCGTAGCTGAATTTCCCTGTCTGCTTCATGGAGGAGACAGATCATTGGGGGGAGGGGGTGTGTCCTCATCAATGTTGTATCGCTGGCACTTAGCTCAGTGCCTGGCACTTAGGAGATGTGTAGTAATGGCTGTAGAAAGCAATTAATGGGCTCTGTTGCTTCTTAGCTGTGTGCTCCTAAGCAGGTTGCTTAATCTTAGCTTTAGTTTCTGCAGTTCTAAATGGGGATAAATCACTGAGCAGTAAAAATGGTTGTATGAAACAGGCTTTAGTTTAGCCCTAGGTGGTATAGGTCAGTGGATTGAGCACCAGCCTGTGAAACAAAGGGTCACTGGTTTGATTCCCAGTCAGGGTGATACAGGGTGCAGCGGGGGGGGGGGGGGGGGGGGCAAAAATAAAGATTTGGAATGGTGTCCAGAATTCAAAGTGTATAGGAATATTGGAGAGACATATAAGATGTCCTCACCACCCCCCACAAGGGGGAAGGGACGAATGGAGCAGGGCCATTGAGAGCTATTTTGCATAGCAACAGTTTTGCAGCTAACCTCTGGAATGATTATTTAACATATCTATAACCTTTAACTGGTTTCATAGATATGTTAAATAGCTGTGGCCAAGTTTGGAGCTAGGAAGAAGGGAGTAGCTGGGGACTCAAGATGAAACTAGGGGCTGCGCTCCTGAGTGAGAAGGCCTGTATGAGAGCTTGGAAAAGATGGGCTCCAGGACATGAGGTAGTAACTGCCCGGGTGAAAGGGAAAACCACGCAGCTTTGCCAGAATAGAGATCCCTGCAGCCAGGTGAAGAAGAAAGCTACATGCTTTTGGTGGAGTGAGAAACCCTGCGGCTTTGGTAGAAGAGGCCCATGCGGCTTTGGGATGCCCCCTTTGGCCACGTGGCCTGAAAAGCAAGAGAGACTTTGACTGGAACTGGGTACAAAGGACTCTTGCCGGTGGATCGTGAGAAGGTGCCACATGACTGGATTAACGCGAGATCCTGCACAGTGACACAGCTGACGGTGCCAGCAGCCTGAAAAAGGGACGTGTGCTCTTTTCCTGATTTACGGTACCTGGAGTTGGGACAGTGGGAGAAGGGAGCGCTGTGTGGGTATAGGAGTATACCCTAAAGGACTTTGCTATTTTAGTGGTGGCGTTAGGCCTGAATAGCATTAAATAAACATTTTGTTTCCTTTTCACAAATCTCTGGCATTGAGAGATGTCTTTCCAATTGGCGGCGGACAGAAGAACCCAGTAGATATTGGTGTTTTGTCCTTGGAAGGGGCCCCTGTTGTATAGCAGTTTTTGGCATTCCTAGGTGGGCCAAATATTGTATTGTCCCCCGCCCCCCGGACCTCTTCTTTGGTAACAAGGGCACATGCCTGGGTTGTGGGTCAGGTCTCAAATAAGGGGCGCATGAGAGGCAACCACACATTGATGTTTCTCTCCCTCTCTTCCTCCCTTTCTCTAAAAATAAATAAAATATTTAAAAGACACAAAAAGAAAGAAACAGGCTTTATGCTTGGTACATAATAGGTGCTCAGTAAATCCTAGTTTGTTTTACTGAGATAAAATTCACATAGCATACAATTCACTCCCTAAAGTGTGCAGTCCGTTGGCTTTTAGTGGCTTCACATAAGCTTGTGTAGCCATTACCATGATCAACTTTAGAACATTTTCATCACCCCAAAAAGAAACTCTGCATTCCACCCCAGCCCTTCACTGCCAGCCCTGAGCAGCCACTGACCTGTTTTCTGTCTTTCTAGATTTGCCTTTGCAGGGCACTGTGCATACCTTGAATCAAGCACACGGCCTGTGTGTTTTCCTGTGACTGGCTTCTTCCACTGAGCGTAATGTTTTCAGCGTTTATCCCTGTCGTTGCATGTGTCAGAATTTTCATCCTCTTAAATACTGAATTTCTAGAGGGAAGGAGCAGAGATTTGCTCATCTGGGTGCGCCTCACAGCCTGGTGGCACACTGTCTGGCTCGTTGTTTAAACTCAGTGAATGATCAGCTGTTTGCAGTGCTGTCGTGTCCCAGGAACTGAAAAGAGGGGCAGTAGAAATGGCCATAGTCGGAGCGGGTACAGGAATATCCTGACAGAAGCATTTTTCACCCAGTAAATGAGTTAACCCAGAGGGGCATTTGGTAAATATTTTCATCAGCATGATGCCAACATGGGTGAATCTGTATCGAGAAAGCATTTTCTGGAGCAAATTCTATTATGCCCACTTAATCCCTTGCTCTGCATTTTTTATTTTTTAAGATTTTATTTTCAGTGTGGTGGGGGGGTTGCTGGGAGGAAGAAAAAGGGCGAGAAACATCAATGTGCAAGAGCAACATCGAATTGTAGCAGGGCCCCAACCAAAGACATTTCACTTTGCTGGACAATGCCCAATGCACTGAGCCACACCAGTCACGTACCTTGCTCTGTTTTTTATGTAGCCCACGTTCCTCATACGTGGGCGCAGATAGCTGTGCTCAGATTTGCAGAAAATGCCTTCCTTTGGAGAGAGCGTTGCAAATACTGCCATAGTTGGAATTTCTCTACTCACTGAGAAGTTGGAGATCGTGTCGTCAGAACCATGATCTTCAGTCTGGACCTTTGGTGGCACCTAGTTTTACAGTGTGCTGTCTTTAGCTGCTCTCAGTCTGTATGTGGAGCATGTGGTGCTGTTTCTTTTTTTTTTAAAGCACTAATCCTTCAATACAGGGATGACAATTTCTATTCATTTATTAGCCAATCCATGAAAAACTTGGGAGCATTCCCCTTCAGGTATTCTAGGATGGCCTTGCTGTCTGGAATGGATTTGTTTTCGTTGCTGATCCAATTCGCACTTGATTCTAATCACTTTGAAACTGTGCTAAATGCCCACACCTGTGGAGCAATGAGTGAAAGTCAAGTCCAAAATACCCAGCTTGGGAAAGCCTCCTGGAAGGGGCAAGAGTGGAAAGATTTGCAGTAGGATAAATGTCCCATCCACCTGCTCTCTGGTCCTCCCCTTTGTGGGTCTGTGTAGTCTGCTTGTGCTGCCATCACAGACTGGGTGCCTTATAAATACAGATACTTATTTCTCAGTTTTGGAGCCTAGAAATTCAAAATCAAGGTGCTGGCAGATTCACCTTCCTGGCTCACGGACAGTCATCTTCTCTCTGTGTTCTCACATGGTGGGAGACACCAGGAAGCTCTCTGGGGTCTTTTTTATGAGGGCAGTGATCCCCTTCATGAGGCCCCCACCTGAATCATGACCTCATCAACGTCCAGGGGAGCACCTCCAGATACTATACCTTGGCGCGTCATGTTTTCAACACCTGAATTTTGGGGAAACACAAATGCATCTATAACAAAGGCTTGGATTATGTTCATTTTTTTTCTAGGTCCATGGAAAGAAACTGTTCCTTAGATTTGACCCAGACGAAGAAACCAGGTCTCCTGGCAACAACCCACTGCCAGAACCTCTGCAAAAAAGAGAGAGGAAGGAAGGGGCTGGGGACCACAAGCAGACCTTGGGTCCCGGCTTCCAGAAAATCTCAGACCAGTCGTCCCAGTCCCTGGAGCATGTCCGCAGCGGAGACAATGGCTCGGAGTATCTGGGGGGAGACGGCCCTGCAGGGAGTGCTGAGAGGTGGCTGCAGATCAGCTTTGGTTTGTTTGGCAGCATCTGGGTGAACGAATTCTCCAGAGCAAAGAAAGCGAACAAGAGGGGTGACTGGAGGGACCCCATTCCGAGGTAATGGCATGGTGGGTGGGCCATGGGCAGTGTCTCTCTGCTTCCCCCTGGGGTCTGCAGTGTTCCCCACGGCCCCTACTGTGTGCCTCACTCTGTGGGCGCACTCAGGTGGCTCTCCAGCAGTCTGCTTGCTAGGAGAGAGAAGACACTTCTTTGTGTCCCTGTCATAGAACGTAGACTGTGGTCTGCACCCTGAGAGGAATGGTCACATCCTGGGTAGGCTTAGCGAAGAAGGACAACTTTTCCAACAAACATGGCCCTGGGAGGTGGAGGTCTCTGAAGAACATTGGATGGCTTCACAAGTACACTCTGAATTTAGGGACAGAATTGTCTCAGTTTTTAATCCATTAATGTCGAGACTATCTCAGGCCATAAAACGGCATCTGTGTCAGGGTTATTTTGTTACTGCACATTCCCAGAGGGGTCACTGCTGCTCAAAGAGGATGAGCAGCATCCTTACGGCTGAGCATCCTTATAGCTTTGCAGAAGTGCTCACTTAGCTGAGTTCTTGCTGCCATTGGCTTGCCTGTGCATTCCTTTTATTACTTTGCAAGAGCTTTTCAGTACTGTGTGTTACCTTTTGTGATGTGTGGTCCCAGTATTGTTTCCTCTCTGTGTCTTTTGGGAGTGTTGGTGCCCTTTGGCATTCAGAATTGTCCATTGTATATAGTCACGGGTCAGTATTTTTTTTTTGTAAATCTTATTTTTCAATTACAAAAGTTGACAAAGGATATTAAATTGGTTTCTGGTGTACAACATAGTGATTAGACATTTATATAACTTACAAAGTTATACAGTCCAGAACTATATAACTATACGGGGTCAGTATTTTTCTTGCTATCTCTTAAGTTAACCCCTTTTTGCTAAATAAAGAAGGCGCCTTCTACCCGAAAGTCACATTGCTTTTTCTGTTTTCTGAAGTCTCATATTATATTTCATTACGCTCAGATCTGTAGTCTTTCTTTATGGTGTGATTTGTGATCCAGTAGGATGCTTTGGGCTGTAAAAAGAACTCAGGCTGGCTTAAGTTGGGGGGCGATTTTTCTGGCTGTTCATGTAGTTGGAAGTTCAGAGCCAGGGTGGGATTTGGCATCGACTCGCTTCCCAGTCTTTGGCTTCAGGTTCTCGTGATTCTTTGGTGTTTGCGCTTTTCCACGCGTTGGTTTTGTCTTAAAAACAGCAGTTCCAGGCCTATGTGCACACAAAGAAAGAGGAAAGCGGAAGAGAGAGGGTCATTTTGAAACGTTCAGTTGAGCAAGGAGAACTTTCTCAGAACCCTCCGCCCGCCTCTCACCACCGGTGGCTCCTGGGTGGATCCCTGCAGGTCTCCAGCGAGAGGGGAGTTCGCTGCTCTTCCACAGGCAGCGCCTCCCCCCCTCCCAGATGAGTTAACACATCACCGCTCTCTTCCTTTTCAATTCTTGTCCAATTCTGTGTCCCTTCTTTTTTTTCATGTGTTACCTATTACTTTGTCCCCTACCCCTTTTTTCCTTAATTAGGCTTGCCAGAGTTTTATCTATATTGTTGGCCTTTAAAATAAATAACATTCGTTTAAGTAGTCTGTATGTAAGAGTATTTCCTGCTCGTCCAGATGGTTGAGTGTTTGGAGTCATTCTTTTGTTTGGCTGTAATTCTTTACTGGACTGTGATTAGTATTATGATCATAGCCTGCACATTTTCTGCTTTGGGCATTAAGAGTCGCAACCAAAGACATTACTGATCTCTGCTTATACTTTATGTACATAAGTGCACAGTGTGTTCAAAGTAGAACATTCTGTGGATGTTAAGAACAGGTTATGACATCAATAACTCAAATACTCTTTGTCCTTGTTTATGTTTTTTTTACTTAATACATCTACCTTGGGAAGAGGCACCCGAAGTCTCCCAGGGTAATTGTGGTTTTATAAAGTTTCTCCTTGTCTTTTTGAGCATTTTTGTTTATGTGCTTTCAGCCCAGAGGTCCCAGGCATCAGGGTCCCTGACTCTCATAGGCTCTTTACAGCTTCATTATTAAATAACATGCTCTTTCTTTGCCTTCGGTCCTGAATTGTGCTCTTCTTGATGTTAATAGTGCCACTCAGTTCCGCTGGCCCACCCCTTGCTCTTTCCTCATTTAGTTGTAGGGTTTTTTTTTTTTTCACTTATTTTAGGTATGTTTTATATAAACTATGAACCAAGCGTTTGTATATCTTTAAACTCAACCTGAAACTCTTTATTTTGAAATGGGATAACTGAGGTATATGGATTTTTGTTCATTAGCCATTTTATTGTATTTTGTTTTCTTTTCTTTCTTTGGATGTATCATTTCTTATCAGCTTCCCCCCAACCCCATTGGTTTAGAAATATTACTATTTATCTTCATTCTGTTGGTAATACATTTATCTTAAGTTATACTTATTGTTCTCTGAGTTAATAGCCATCAAGTTAAAAAAAAGTTTTTTTAATTATTTTTTAGTCCTGGCTGGTGTGGCTTCGTGGATTGAGCACCGACCTGCAAACCCATGGGTCACCAGTTTGATTCCCAGTCAGGGCACGTGCTTGGGTTGCAGACTAGGTCCCTGGCTGGGGGCATGAGAGAGGCAACCAATTGATGTATCTCTCACATCAATGTTTCTTTCCCTCTCTCCCTTCCTTCCCCTCTCTCTAAACATAAATAAATAAATAAATTTTTAAATTTTTTTCAGTTACATCTGACAGCCATCACATTTTTAATAACATTAATAACTTTTCTCCCTTGTTATTGAAATTGGTTTTTTGGTCACATTCCTTTACCCCTCTGAGATGAGATGAAGTATTTCTACTTCACTACTTCTATTCTGTTACATCAACGCCATCTCCTGCATTTGCTGAGATAGTTTAGAATTTTAGTTCCAGATTGCTAACTAACTATATTACATAGTTAATTATGTGTAACTAAGCTGCTTAAGAACCTCATGTGCCCATAGGCACAGGCTGGTGCTGCAGGTGGCTCCCCTCCCCCCCCAGCTCTCTCCCTACCAGATCCCCGAGTTCTCCCTGCATGGATTTCTTTAGAGCCAAGAATGCATCCTGTCTTGTTCTTGCATGCTAGTGCTTCCTCCACGAATTTGAAAGACATATTGGCTGACCTGATGCCTAAGGAGCAGGACAGAGTTAAGACAACTGTGGGCTGAGTCACTGTGGACGTGGTGTACGGTGGCACGAGAGGCACGAAGGACTCGGTATGTGAAACCTCAGTTCTTGATCCTGATGAGGGTATCCGTTTCCGAGGCTGCAGTATCCCCGAATGCCAGGAACTGCTGCCCGAGGCCAAGAGAGCAATAGAGCCCCTAGTGGAGGGCTTATGTTGGCTGTGGGTAACTGGGCAAATTTCAACAGAGGAACAGGTACCTTGGCTCTCAAAAGAGTGGGCAAAGAGGGCACTGTCATGTGCCTATCATGTGCTCACCATGCTGGACAACTCTGCCACCAATCTACACCCACATCTCAGCTCAGTGCAGCCATTACAGCTCTCAACAGTGAAAGAAACTGCTGGAGCAGAGCACATCGACAGACTGGGTACTGGGAGTTGATCTATGAAGACTATGGATCTGATCCCAAAGCCGCCTTGCGTTGCCGCGAAGATTACCAGAATCTGTGCCGTGAGAGCAGCTGTATCAGGGCCACTGACTCTACGCTGAACTTGTCCCTCAGTTTCAGCAACGTGTTAGGCTATAACAATGCTCAGTTTACTGAGCGCGTACACTTGTAGCTCACCCTCGACAGTGATCATGAAGGTGGCAGTGCAGTGCCTGTACCAGCCACTTGGTGGGCAGTGCCTTTTCAGACCCTTACCTGTCCTTCGCAGCAGCCATGGTCGGCCCTGCATGGACTGGCAGGCAGATCAGAAAGTGCTTGTTTGGCCGATGCGGCCAGAGAAGAAAGCTGGCAAAGCTGTGTCAGATGAGAAGTCACAAGACTACATTTGGAAGTACTCAGCTTAGAATGGTTTGTTTCAGGCTATGTCCCATGCAATACTGAGGAAGACGGATCCATGGTGTATGTGTCAGTGAGAGTCTGTTCTGAAACACCTGCCTCATGACGCCAAGTTTAAGCTGGTTGCTCAGCTGTACAAGATTGTGTCCAATGTTCTCTTAGAGCAGGGCAAGGCCAAGAGTCCTTGGCCCCGTGCAGACGCTTACGGTGGGATGCTGCTCCAGCACTGTGGCGTGATGGAGATGAACCATGACGCAGTCCCGGTTGGGGCATAGTGAGCATTGGGTGTACTGGCATGGCTCGTCTGGAGTAGAGCCCTCGGCTTCCCCAGAGAGGCCCAGGTCCGCGAGCACGGGTGGTCTGATGAAGGTTTTGGAGTCCAAGGGTGAAACTGGAGACCAGGGGAAATAACCTACCAGAAGTGAGGGGCTTGAAAAAAAGTATACTTTTGTTTCATTCCAGGGCACTTTTATAATAAGTTTGAGGTTAAAATACAAATTAAGACTTTAAAAGATGAAGAGTGACCCCTTTTCCCTGACCAGCTCCTTTCCGCTGCCTCGTGTGGGTTGCCCATCAGCTGCAGGACGACCAGGACTAATGCCAGTGGTGTGGGTTGGATATGGGCCCTCACCTTCTCTAGAGCGAGAGTCTGGCTTCTCTTTCTCTGGGTCACAGCTGGTTGCAGAGAATCTGCAGTTGCTTTGGAGCTTTTGGTTCTATGCTGCGCAGCCCTCCTTAGGCCAGCAAACCAGGACTCTGCCCCTTCTGTTTCTGTAGTCACGTCGGGTTGTCAGCTGCACCGAGCCCGGCTGCCCTCTCCCATGTGCACAGACACTTCCTGGAAAGACCCCTTGGTCAGCCGGGCAGGCTTTGGGAGTTTTTGTTTGCTGCCAGGTAACTATAAATGGCATTTGTTGTTACTGGTACCCAGTGTTAGATTTTTATCAAATTATCCCATAAAGATTCAGATCTGGGACTGTTCTCTTCCCCACTACTTTAATACTCCTGTGAGATTTTCTGTATGTGCTGAGCTTCAAGCTAAGGATGCTCTGGACCTTCCCGGTTTGGTCCCTGCTAGAAACCTCTTTCAGCAGGTTGTATAAACCGCTGTCTGAAATATGGACTTTTCCAGTCACTTGGCTCCATTAGAGCTTAACATGAACTAAGATTTTTAGCCATTGCCCTGTGACTTTTGTCCCATAGAAAAGGGACTTGGGAATGAGCAGCTCGGTATCTTCATGGTCTGGTCCCAGGGCTACTAGCACCTTTTTCTGAGCAAGGAAACGATTTTAGTTTGGACATAGTCTCTTTTGAATACCAGGGTCTAGGTCTGAGCCCATTAAAAATTGAAAGCCTCCCTCCTCATCCGCTGCCACATGGAAAGATCTCTTTATGTATCAAGGTCGCTGTCCTGCCCGCCCCATCCCTGAGAGCTCCGGTACAGGATCTGTTTACAGCCCCATCGGCAGGGGCTTCAGTGACTCAGGATGCTCCAGTGCCTTTTTTTTTTTTTTTCCTATAAGAAGGGATTGCAGTACATTCCCGCTGTGCCCACTTCCTCCCACACAACTCCCTCGGGTTTGCATGGACCCCTAGTCCCCAGGACCACGCTGCTGAGGTGGACACGCTGTCCGTAAACCCCTGAGCGACTTGTCACGTTGTGATGCACACTTGAGGCTGTTCTGTGTGAAATGCAAAGTAAATTATTTCATTAACGAAAGACACCCCCCCCCCAAACTAATATTAAAAACATACTAAAATAGCCCTGGCTGGTGTAGCTCAGTGGATTGAGCACAGGCCTGTGAACCAGAGGATCGCGGTTCGATTCCCAGTCAGGGCACGTGCCTGGGTTGCAGGCCAGTTCCCAGTGGGGGACCCATGAGAGGCAACCATACATTAATGTTTCTCTCGTTCTCTCCTTCCCTTCCCCCTAAAGATAAATAAATAAAATCTTTAAAAATATAAAGATGTAAAAACCCTAAAAAAAATACTAAAATAAATATCTTTGGTTTCAGAAATTCTTTCCTAGCACTTGTGGCTCTCAGTTGAATAATCATAATCCATTTTAGATTTCACAATAAATATCATCAATCTAATGCCTGCTGTGTCCTGTTCTTTTCATTTCCCCTATCTTGAGATTTTTCCTGATTTAATTAATCACATCAGATACCCCGCATAGATGTTTTTTGGGTTCCTTTTACTTTCACATAGAATATCACCTAGGTCAGATGCATGAATCACACTCTTCTTCCGATATGGAGTCCCATTCCAGCCTGTACATCTTCCCTTGCAGAGTAACCCACCCAGCCTCCCTTTCTTCTTTCCTTCCTTCCTTCCTTTTCAAAGATTTTTTTATTAATTTATTTTCAGAGAAAGGGGAAGGGAAGGAGAAGGAGAGGGAGAGAAACACTGATTGGTTGCCTCTCATACTCCCCCAGACTGGGGACCTGGTCCACAACCCCGGCATGTGCCCTGACCGGGAATCAAACTGACGACCTTTCGCTTTGCAGGACGATGTGCTACCCACTCACCCACGCTGGTCAGGGCCCCATTTCTGTATCGAAGTTCATAAGGTTTCTTCTTCTCTTGCCTTGGGGTTCAGGAAGCCCATGTTCAGGTGCGTCTGTCTTGGTAAACCTTGCCCGAAACTGGGAGTGGTGTTTCTCTAGCATCTGTCTGTCCTCCTTTCTAATAAGTGAACTTGTATTGTTATGATCAGAAAAATGAAGCACGCTGTATGTGTTTTCTTTTAATTACTTCATTTAGCCCTGAAATTTGTATGATTCTGGCAGAGCCATTCCTTTCCTCTTCCGGGACCTTAGCTCCCCCAGGTTAATCCTGACAGTGGGGTGTGGGCTGCGTGGACGTGTGAGCTGACAATACTGTGGTCACTCTAGGTGCTCATGATCTTTTCTTTCTTCCCAGGTTGGTCTTGCACTTTGGTGGTGGCGGCTTCCTGGCATTTTATAATTGTCAGATGTCTTGGAGCTTTTCCCCAGTGATCAAACCCACCTCTGACATCTTGTCTGCAAAGTTCCATCGAGGACAAGCCTTGGAAGCTCTGGGCAAAGCACAGCCTGTCTGCTATACACTGTTGGACCAAAGATACTTCTCAGGCTTAGGTATGATGGATGGGAAAGGGGTGAGCCCTGCAGAGTTATTTAATAGAAAAGTCGCTCGTCTGGGAAGCACGGAACTGAGATCCACTCCCAGTGTGAGCCCTACTGGTGTTGAGGTGATCCCTTACTCTTTTTGGCTTTGCTTCCCTCATTTTTAAACTGAGGCAGTTAGATTAGACAGTTTCTAACTTCTTTCCTGGCTTCAGAATTCATACCCTAATCCTATTATCAGTTGTAGACTGCCTGACAGCCACATTAGCCTATGACCTCCTAAAGGGCAGGGTCATATCTCATCTATCCTTGAACCCTCCATTGCCTAGCTCTGTGCCTGGGACACAGCAGGTGCTTGAAAGGTGACTGTCAGGGAGCCAAAGGCATGCAGTTTGCTAACAGAGAGCAGGGCATTTGTCAGTGGGGTTGCTCAGGGCAGATGGAGCTGCCCACCAGTCAAAGCAGAGCTGTCTCATGAGTGAAGAAGCAGGTTCATGCTCTCTGTTCAGGTTTCCTGAGCGATGAAACTGTGAGTGTTCTGATGTGGAAAGAAGAGTTGAGCAATCTGAAAACTAGGGTGTCTAATTAGCTGGGCTGTAAGGACATAACCATCCTCATTTCCCACAGTGGGACAACACATGTCCCTCTGATTGGCTGCTGAGGCAGTACAGTGAGCTGGTGACGACGGAGTCCCCTCCATAACTAAGGCATCATTTTGTCTGCTGCAGGCACAGCTCACCTCAGGATGGGAGACCTGGCCCAGTGGCTCACCAGACAGTGGCCTTGCATTCTTAATGGGGGTCCCTGCACCTTGAGGAGCAAAGGGCTTTTACGGTATATTTAGTAAGAGCTGATGCTCCACTAACAAATCATTATCATGCACAACCATAATAATAGCCAGTATTTTTCAAGTGACTCTAATGTGCCAGGCACGTGGTTTCATCCTTATTGCTATTCTGTAGGATAGTTTTTTACTAGTTTACTCTTCATTCAGATGGGGAAATTAAAGCAAAGGATCTATTGCTAGTAAGTGGTGCAGCTTCGATAGGAATCCAGGTGGTCTGCCAGTGAGTTCTAGAGAGAAATTCTGTGTGTAGCTGGGAGTGTGATTATGAAGCTCTTGGAAAGGGCAGTCATTTCATTCATCCATTGATAGCACAGGGATTGAGCGCTTGCTTCCTGCCAAGCCCAGCCTTTGCTGCTGAAGGGGATTATTGTTTAACAGCCTAGCAGCTTGGGCCCAGTTCACCGTAATTGGAAATAGATTGAAATAAATGCCTAGTAGAGATTAAAGAAACTGCATTGTTGGAACATTATGAAGAGAATTATTGACTCTAGAAGGGATGAAGGCCAGATTCACAGGGGATGAAGCAAGAATAGGAAAATAATAAAATAATACCTCCTAACACTTTTTGTATTTTAGGCATTATGCTTGACATTTTAAACAATAATAACAGGTACTATTTGTTGAATACTCTATGTACTAGTCACTGTGCTCAGCGTGTGCGTGTGTGTGAATTCCCACTGCTCACAAAAACCAGGCAACATCTCCATTTTACAGACAAGGAAACTAAAGCCTAAAGAAGGTGAGGAACTTGCCAGGGTTAGATAGCTAGGGTCTGGATGAGCTGGGATTTAAATCTACATAATCAGGTTGCAGAGCCTGTTTTGGTAACCACTTGGCTATTACTTGGGCTGTGCCTGAGTTTTCTCTCCTCCCATCTGCACAGTAACCTTAACAGTAAGTATTGCCAAACCCACTTTATAGATAAGGAAATTAATTGACTCAGGGATTATGAAACTTCCCCAAGAGCCTGCTGTGCACGGCAGAGCTGGCCCCAGGTTCTCCCCAGGCTCTCTCCCCTGCTGCCATCAGCTTCGGTTCTCTCTAACTGTGTGCACTGGTTTTGTTATAGATGTGTTCTTTATTCTCCCCTTGTCCTCTCCCTGCTTTCTTTCAGGGAACATCATTAAGAATGAAGCCCTGTACAGAGCTGGGATCCATCCCCTTTCTCTTGGCTCACTCCTCAGTCCTCAGCAACTGGAGATCCTCGTGGATCACGTGGTGGAGTTCAGTGCAGACTGGCTTCAGGGAAAGTTCCAGGGCAAACAGCAGCACACGCAGATCTACCAGAAAAATCAGTGCCCTGAGGGGCACCAGGTCATGAAGGAGGCCTTCGGGCCTCCAGGTGGCTTCCAGAGGCTCACGTGGTGGTGCCCACAGTGCCAGCCCAGCCTGTTGCCTGATGAGGTGGAGCAAGTTCAGCTTTCCTGAGGCTCTGGGGCCTCTTCCCAGGACCCTGCCCTTTGGGGAGCACAGTGTTGGCGTGTCGAGGAGGGGGTGCGGGCAGGGATTGGGAACGGAGGGGCGGAGGGGTCGGGAGGAGGTTACTGCTCTAGACACGCATCTCACTGAAGTTATGTCTAAGACAGAGTTTTCACAGGGTTAGTTTTTTTTCGAGTGTTCGTTTAATTTTTTTTAATTAAAAAAATTTTTTATCCTTACCCAAGGACAGTTTTCCATTGCTTTGAGCGAGAGGGGAAGGGAGATGGAAGCAGCAAGTGGTTGCCTCCCATATTCTCCCCCACTGGGGTGGATGTTCAGCCAACTGAGCCACGCCACCCAGGGCGAGTGCTAGTTAATTCTTCCTAATTCTGCCATTGTGAAAGATGAGAAAAGTTGTGATGACAGTTAAGGGAAAAGCCTCCCAGAATGACAATGGGGTAGTGAAAATATAAGTCTGTGGAAAATTGCTGCACCCCCACATTGCGGTTTGGTTTGGGTTTTGAAAGGCCCTCCATTTGAGAAGGAGGAACACGGAATTGTCTTTTTTCATTCCCCTGGAGGCACCCAGGGGCCAGGATGGAGGACCATGAGGGTCATGCTCGGATTCAGCCTCCAGACTGGGTCCTTTTCCATGGGAGGGGGACACCACGAGCAGGGGTCAGGGAGGAGGGGGTCCCGGAAACTGGTCACCTTTCTGGTGTGCCCCGTGGCCTTTAGAAATAGCTCCTTGTTTCCTCCTCGAGGAGATTTGCTTGTGACCATCGCTGTGCGGGACGGTGCCAGAACCCAGGGTCATGGAGACACTGTGTAAAGTGGTTAGCAAGAGCTGGAGGGGACTAGGGTATGAAAATAAAGTTCTGTGTGAATTATTGTGGTTATCTTTTTTTTTTTAAGATTTTATTTATTTATCCTTAGAGGGGAAGGGAAGGAGAGAGGAAGAGAAACATCAATGTATGGTTGCCTTTTGTGCGTCCCCTGCTGGGAACTGGCCTACAGGGAACTGGGCTACAACCCAGGCACGTGCCCTGGCTGGAAATCGAACCGCGATTGTCTGGTTTGCAGGCCCGAGCTCAATCCACTGAGCTACACCAGCCAGGGCTACTGTGGTTATCTTTATTTGGCAGGAACAGTCCCTACAATGTAAATAACCAAGTTCTTTGTGAGGGTGGCTGCATAGGACTTGCTGAGGTGGCCTGTTGGAGCCACTTACTGTGAGCAGCACAGGGAGCAGGGATGAGAACACTCCTTGGCCCCTCGGGCACTGCATTGGCAGCAGGTCTGGTGAAACGGATAGATTTCACTTCTGTTGCCCTAGCCTCTGGCATGTAGGCGCCAGTGATTTGAGTAAGCGAAATTAAAAACGGGCTCATCTTTCTGGCTTTCCTTTTCTCACCTCCTTAAGGAATTGAGAGTTGTCAACAGTGGGTTAAGCCCCTTTATAGCCTGTACAACTTGTGTTCACATGGTTAATTAACCAGGGCCAGGGGCACATACTTAAACCCACATCACATCGTAGCCCCCTCTCTGTGGGGCTTGCCCCACGGGCATTGGTCAAGGCCTGGCTGATGTCAGTAAGGGTACGTCCCACAAAGCCAGCCATTGAGGTGTATGGGTTGTTGGCACCATCACAGACTGGGTTCTACATGAAACGGGGAAGCGGAAATGTGGACAGCTAGCAGAAACCACAGCTACAATGCCTCTCTTTAATATTGATTCTGCGTGGCAGGAGGCTCTCAGCAGAAGTTTTAATTTTGTTCTAAAAGGATCAAGGGGAGAGAAGAAGAGGTAATGGTGGAACTGAAACAGCAGGGGTGGGGAATTGAACAGTGGGAATTACTCCTCTTGCCCATGTCTCTTGGTGGGAATAAGGAGAGGCTTTTGCTTGACAGAGTCATAGATGAGGGGCATAGAGTGGGTGAGTCCAGGTTTCCCTTCAAAGCGAGGAGAGGGGCGATATTTGTACTTAACACATTCCAAGGGATATGTTAAGTACAACATGAGCTTGAGTTTCGAGATTATTGACATTGTGGAAAACTTGGAATTTAATGTTCGGTTTCAGTGGTCTTAGCTATTCAGTAAATTCTTAAGTGCCTCTTAAATGCTAGGTTTGGGAATACAGGGTAAAGAAGACAAGAAAACCCCTACATTAATAGGAGGCCAGCTTGTTATAAAAAGTGTTAAGTGCTTCAGTAGGTTACAAAAGAAGTGCTATGTGAAGGTGGGGAATACATGAAATATCCAGCACAGTCCCAATTCCAAGCATTGCTGTTCAACACAAAGCAGCAGAGACTTGTTACTGGAAGGCACTGTGCAAGGTGTATGTTCAGACATGGTCTCGGACCTTGAGGGGTTCGTGGTGAGGTGAAGAGTCAGACGAGATCATTAGAATGCAGAAAGTTGGGGGTGAGAGTCACTACTGGACAGGATTGAAGTGGTGAGGTTTGTGGAAATAAAGACCACCCAATAAGAACAAACAAATTATGCTCTTTAATCAGAGATTACTATACAGCAAGGGCATCAGCCACCATTACCAGCATTTGGCAGAGACTCAGTGGCAGCCTGGGAAGTGGGAACGCTTTATAGTGGGAAAAAAAAGGCAAGTCGTCAGGTGTGCTTGGGTTGGAGGAGATTGGCACGGGGAAGCTGGAAGCAGGCTAACTAGTAGTGGAGTGTCTTAAGTGATTGGTTTGGGGAGCATATTTGCTTTTCTGTGGTCAGTCCTGTGTTAGAAATGGAGGCAAAAATAGAGACGTACTTGATCAAGTCCCAGCCATTCCAGGCCGGTTGCTGCAGAGATTGTGGATGAGTGTGATGTTACTGTAAATGGTCTGATCTTTGTCCATTTGTGCATGCAGTCTTCAGCTGGACACACAGTAGGTCAGACTGTGTGAGCTGGATTAGGCTCCAGCTATGTAATTGTCTTCCTCTGCCCTGGAAGTTCTCTGCGGTAGAATATCATTGTACTCATCTTTATTTCCAGCACTTGCCACATTGTTGGTGTTGGGTGCATGTTGGTTCAATCTGAAGAGCAAATAAAGGAGAGGCCGGTGAGCTTCAGAAGAGGATTCCTGAAGCAGGGTATTCCACCTGAGCTGTAATGAACGCATGGCAATAACTAGATGAGAAGCAAGTGAGGAAAGGGCAACCCAGACAGGTGAATTACTCAGGCCAAGACCTGAGTTGTAAAATTCCGTGGCCTCTTTAAGAAATGGAAGTGCTGCCAGGATTGGGTCTTGGTTTGAAGGATGTGAGGTGACTGAATAGGGGGCTAACATTCAAAAAACGGCATATAAGTGCTAAATGATGAGGGAATTTTTATTCTATACCAGAATTCTTGATTTGATTTTGGAAGGCATTTGCTTTGAGGAATTTAAAATTGAGGGATTGTCGGCAAGAGCATAACATAATCAAGTATATGTTTTAAGGGAGATGGGAAGTTGTTCTCAAAATAGTTGGGGAGCAGAGATGGGGCTTACACCAAGATGGAACAAGGAGGAGAGATTAAGACAGACATGTTTGTTTCTTAGACTCCACAGGATTGAGTGAATGATTTCAAAGGGGTGTAGGGAGAGAAAGGAGTTAGGTGTGATGTGTGGATTTTCTAATTGGCAACTGGGAGGCTGTTAGTGCTTTTCACAGGAGAAGCAGATTCAGTGGGAGAGACTTCGAGCGTGGGTATGTCAAGTTTGCTCAGTTTGGGGTCATTAAAGAGGAGGTATCCTAGATGCAGCTCAATTCAGTAAGTATTCATTGTGCATCTAGTATGTGCCAGGCATGAATCTAAGTGCTTGGGGGTGAGTTAATGAACAGAACAAAGACCTGTTGTGATTGAGCTTACATTCTAGCAAGGGAAAACAGCCAGTAGATACCATAAGTAAGTTATGTGTTATATTAGAATGTGATAAATATTATGAGAAAAAATTAGAGTAGGATGGAGGGTCAGCAGTGCTAGTGATAGGATGGTGCGAGTGAGCTTATATAAAGTGCGGTTTCAGCAAAGACTTGAAGGAGGTGAAGGAGGTAGCTAATTGGATATCTGGGAGCAAAGTATCCCAGGGAGTGTGGAGTAAACAGCTCGATTAAAGAGGCCCTGTGGTCAGAGAGAAGTAAAAGTTGGGTGTCAAGAGAGGTAATGGGGATGCAGGGCTAATCATGCAGAGCTTTGCAGATCAGTGTAGGGATCATTGTAGGGGCGTAGGCTTTACTGAGTGGAGAGAAGTTGTAGGGTTTTATTTAGGCAGTGATCTGATCTGACAAGTCTTTAAAGGATCCTGGTTGCTGTGTTCAAAATATTGGAGGGTGGGGGGCTGTCGTAGCAGGTAGTTTCTAGAGCGTGTGAGAAGTCTAGGGTGGAAATACAATTTCCTCATCACCTGTGTATGTTGTGGGAATGCTTGAAATCCTTTTTTGGGGACTTCCGCCAAGATGGAGGCATAGGTGGAGATGCCGTGCTTTCTCACACAACCAAATTTAGAGACAACAAAATATTAGCAACAGAAAACATAGCCAGAACACAGAAAATTGAACTTTTTGGAAGTCTGATAACAAGGAATTCTTCAGCCTGACCGGTAAGAGGGGCGAAGCCAGCAGCTGGTGGAGCGGGGTTACATAGGAAAACTCGGTCAGACGAACTCAGGTGCGCAGATCCCAGGCGTGGGGTTGCAACGGGCGGACCCAGTGAGTGACCCAGTGAGCAACCAGTGGACCCAGCAAGGGTGCAGGGCAGTGGGTTGACTGTGGTTGTGCATTTGTGGGCAGATAGAGCAGCGAGGGAGTGGGTGGTGAGACGGGAACAAGCAGGCCCCAGTGGGGAGAGGCAGCAGAGGGGGCCACTATTTCCCCGCTCTGACCCTGCCCCCACATACAGCGTCACAAACCAGCGGCCTGAGCGGCCCTACCCTGGTGAACGTCTAAGGCTCCGCTCCTCATACTTAACGGGCGCAAACAAACCAAAAATGGCTCAAGAAGATCTCAAAGCTCCAGAGCCCATAACTCTAAGAGACGAAGAAATAGCAAAACTTTCAGATGCGCAGTTCAAACACTGGTGATTAGGATGCTCACAGAACTGGTTGATTTTAGTCACAAATTAGAGGAACATATGAAGGCTAAACTAATTGAAATGAATGGCAATGCACAGGAAACCAATAGTAATGGAAAGAAAACTGGGACTCAAATCAAAGGAGTGGACGAGAAGGAGGATAAAAATGACCAGAAAAGAATGAAGAAACAAGAATGCAAAAAAATGAGGAGAGACTTAGGAATCTCCAGGACATCTTTAAACGCTCCAACATCCCAACATCCAAACTATAGGGGTACCAGAAGGGGGAAAGGCACAGCCACCAGTGGAAAACTTATTTGAACAAATAATAAAGGAGAATTTCCCCAATCTGGCAAAGGAAATAGACTTCCAGGAAATCCAGGAAGCTCAGAGCATCCCAAAGAAGTTGGACCCAAGAAGGAACACACCAAGGCACATCATAATCATATTAGCCAAGATTAAAATGAAGGAGAGAATCCTAGAAGCAGCAAGAGATAAGGGGACAGTCAACTACAAAGGAATTCTCATCAGACTGTCAGCTGATTTCTCAAAAGAGACCTTACAGGCAAGAAGGGGCTGGAAAGAGGTATTCTAAGTCATGAAATCCAAAGACCTACAACCAAGATTGCTCTATCCAGCAAAGCTTTCATTTAGAATGGAAGGGCAAATAAAGTGCTTCTCAGATAAGATCAAATTCAAGGAGTTCATCATCACCAAGCCCTTATTATATGAAATATTAAAGGGACCTATCTAAGAAAAAGAAGATAAAAATATGAACAGTGAAAGGACAGCAAACTCAGTTATTTACAACCACACCTAAAACAAAAGCAAACTAAAAGGACAGCTAGATCAGGACCAGAAACATAGAAATGAAGATCTCATGGAGGGTTAGCAACAGGGGAGTACAAGGAGAAGAGGGGAGAAGGTAGAGAAAATAAATAGCATAGACGGTAGGAAGAAAATAGTTAGGGGGGCAAGAATAGTATGGGAAATACAAAATCTAAAGAACTTGAGACACATGGTCATAAACTAAAGGGGGAGAATGGTGGGGGAGGGGGGTGCAGGGTAGAGGGGAATGAAGGGGGGAAATAGAACAACTGTAATGGCATAATCAATAAAATAAAATAAATAAATTTATGGTTAAAAAAAGAAATCCTTTTTTAGGACTACGTGGGCCTAAAACAAGCACCTTAAAGAGGGTAGCTGAAACTCCAGAAGAGCGTTTGATTATCACCCTAAGAGAAGTGAAGCCGGTCAACAGGAGTTTTATTGCTGGGCTGGACAGCAGGTATTCTACGGGGCTGCATCTGTAACAAGAGGCAGGTGAACGGTACTGTCAGGCATATGTGTCCTACGTGAGTTTGCCAAGCTTTTGCACTGTGTGCTGTTGGCAGTAAAGACCCAACAACTTAGTGGTGGGGGCACATGCCTTTTAAATGTTCAGCAGTCGAGCGCGACCGCGAACGCAGCACGTCCAGGAAGAGCTAATTTGTCCAGCAAGATAAACAAAACTAAACACGTGAAGGGCTTGTTGAGGAAACCTTGGACTCACCCAACGCCCAAGCCTGAGTTGGACTTCACTAGCTGAAGCTCCGGGAGGGCGAGGTCTGCGTCCCCAGCCCCTCCAAGGGTAACTGGAGAAAAACAAAAGCCCAGCCCTAGCCGGACCAACCAATTCCACTCGCCTTCCCCTTTCCGACTCCTCAGTTGGTTCCTAGGCGAAGTTCTGGTGCGGTACTCATCCAACCGCCGGTGGGCCAGCCCCTTCGCGAGATGTCCTAGCCAATCAGCGCCCCGAGCTCTGCGAAGGGCTGGAGGAGAAAACACGGACCCGCCCCCCGTAGGAGCACCAATCCCGTTTGCCTTCATCTTCCTCTCTCTTCAATTAGCTTCTAGGATGTAGTCATCACGCCAGACTATCTTTCCTCCGATTGGCCAGCGTCTCTCTGGTGCGGACAGCTCTGGCCAATCCGCGTATGTCAGACCATCCAACAGGTCACCGAAGCTGTCTCGAGAGCCCGGGCTCGTTAAGACGGACGGGGAAGTGGGCGTGGCGTCGATGCTCTGGGCCCGCCTCTGTTTCCTCCAAGTCCGCTCACACATCATCCACGGGTGGGTGCCAGTTGGAAGAATTAGGGAGGCAGTCACCGAGGATTCGCATCCTTCTCTCAGTATGGAGTACGTAAAGTGCTTGGGGCACCCGGAGGAGTTTTACAACCTGCTGCGCTTCCAGATTGGGGGTCGGTATAAGGTGGTACCCACGACGGACCAGGTGGGTTGAGCGTCCCTGCGTTCCTGCCGGGTTGGAGACGCTGTGCACGACGTGGGTCTTTCCGACCTGGCCTGGCGGGACCAAATTCGGGGATGAGGGGCGCGGCGAACGGATACCCAACGTCTCAGGCTCCCTTCTTCCCTCTGGGAGCAGACACTTGCCAGCCTGGTTCATTCCCTCTCCTTAACCCACAGAGGCGCCCAGCTGGGCTTGGTCTCCTACGCAGACCTTCTCTGGCCCCTACCCTCCCTCAAGTTCCTTGCTGCTTAAAATGTTTCTACTCGTTCAAGACATTGGTTTTCCGGTAGTTTTGCTTCATATTTTATTCTTTTTCTTAAAAAAAAACATTTTACTTATTTATTTTTAGAGAGAGGGGAAGGGAGGGAGAGAAACATCAATGTGTGCTTGCCTCTCCCACGCCCAGGGGGAAGGGGCCAGCAACCCACGCTCGTGCCCTGGATGTAATCCAACCCGCATGCTTTCGGTTGCCAGGACAATTTTCAGTCCACCAAGCCACACCTGTCAGAGCCACATTTCATTCTTCACATTGATTATTATCTTGTAGTCTTTGTTTACAAAATAGGCTATGTGGGTAGTGTGAGTGGGACAGGACCTTAGCGAGGAATATGTAAATAAAATGAACTGTGTAAATACCTTTTCTGGAATGAAAGCGGACTTTCCAGTTTTCAGTTATTCCATGGCCTGCAGAAGCTTCCCTCGCTTTCCTACAGTCTGATCAGTATCTTCCTCAGTGCTTTTTCAGTTTTTTTATAACACTTATTTACTCTTCCAAGTTCTTAGTAGTTTACCTGTATGTTGATTAGCCAGCCACATTGTTGGCTTTTTGAAGGCCAGACCTAGTTTTTTAATTCATATTTCACCTGCCTCATTCCTGTACCTTTTGTTAAGCTAATACTTACAAAGGTATTTATTCCAACAAAAATTATTCTAAAGTGATTATTGAATGACTAAACACCTTCATTTGTATTAGTGGATTATGTCAAGAGTTTTAAATTATTTTTCCCCAGTGGAACTATCACAGTAAAATACTCTTCTTTGTTTAAATGTACCAGTAATTGGTGTCCTTCGTTAAAACACTTTCATTTCAATGAACAAACCTTTTTTTCCCTTTGTCTCATGACTTAGAGTTATCGTCCAAGGTCTAGCTTCAGTGAGTACCACCTATAGATCATTCAGCAGTCATTTTTTAAGCGTCTGTTCTGTGCTAGGTATTATAGAGGGTTCAGCATGGCAGGCCAGCATGCATGATAAATAAAACACCCAAAGAGCTCATCATGTCAGGTCAGGTCAGTAACATGTTATGAAATTCATTGTTCATAGAAAACTTAAGAAGGGCACCATCACAGGATGCCTTTTCATGTCATCTGTGACATGGAAAAACATTTTCTCTAAGCACTGTTTTTTACCTTATATCAGTAACCATATAACCTTGTGTTGTGGTTATTTGTGTATTGGCTTTATGTTCCCCAAATCCTTTCAGATTTAAGGTTCTGGATTTTAAGCATTTCGAAAACAGGAATTTTATTTGATGTATCTTTAGTGAGTTAATGAACAAAAAGTAGGTGCACTGCCCTGGAGAAATGTGTAGCTTTTTAAACAAGATAAACATAAGTAAATGTGGCAGATAATAGTAAATGTCATAAGGAAAATCACAAAAGTAAAAAATCACTTTTGGCTGGCATGTGGGCTTAATCTTTCGAGGAATGCCTAAAAGAAACATGGCTTTAGGTTGCTCTTGTGCCTTACTCAATAGATATTTTTTTAAGATTTTTTTCTTATTTTTTATTTTATTTTTAGAGAGAGGGAGAGAGAGAGCAACATCAATGTATGGTTGCCTCTCATGCACACCCTACTGAGGACCTGGCCTGCAACCCAGGAATGTGTCCTGACTGGGGAATCTAACCAATGACCCCTTTTGCTCACAGGCCAGCACTCAGTCCACTGAACCATATCGGCCACGGCTCAATAGATACTTGTTAAATTAGAGATTCTTACTGAGAGTTCTTACTTGGAGCTTTCCTGAAATTGTTTGGAAAAATTTGTTGTGAATTTGTGTGTTTTGGGAGGAAGAGAATGGTGTCCACTTTGGTGGATGATATGCAGCGGGAGGAGAATGGTGTCCTAGAGAATGTTATCACATTCTCCCAGGAGGGATCTGTAACATAAAACAGTTATTCCTTTACAATCCAGGTGGTACAGTCACCTGAACACCTCCTATGACTCATAATTCACTATCTTTGGAGACTGCCCATTCCATCTCCAGATAGTTTTGGTTTTGAGACAGTGTTACCTAAAGTGAGCTGAACTTCCTCCACCCTGTTCTCTCTCTGGAGCCGGAGAGTCTAATCCTTGTTTCACAATACAGTACTTGCAGTGTTTTAAGAGAACTTCATATCCTCTCTGTATACAGATATACAAGCCAAATGTTCTGTGTTCTTCCACTCGATATCTGTTCCTCTTTCCAGGTCATTTACCAACCTGGTCTGTCTTTAAAGTCTATTGTTCAAAACTGAACAGTACTTTAGGTGTGGTCTGGTTATTTCAGACTTGGAATTTCTTTCTTATGGATGTTACATATTTTTGATGTTAATATTTTATTTATGACCAGGGTAGCATAAAAGATTTGTTTTCCATGCTCAAAAAGAAGAAACAAGTCTTAAGCAGGTCTGCTGCTTATCTCTCATTCCTTACACATCCCAATCGTCTGTTTCTTGGTTTTTCCATTACACCTGTGGAGAGCTTCATTGCCATTCGTGAGGAATGTCATAATGCTTGGCAAGGCACATCACATAAAAATAGTCCGCCTCGAATGTTGTGTTTCTAATGAACATAGGTTAAGATTGCTTTAACTTCAGAAAATGTATTTTAGTTATAAAATATTTCAAACAACTAGAAAAAACTAAAAATATCATAACAAACTATTTTGTGTCTGTCTCTAATATCAACTACATATTAAGTTTTTGCTGTATTTGTTTCATATCTTGTGTTGCTTTTGTTAAGAAATAAAATGTCCAGATACAATTAAAGTTCTTTTCCCTGTCTCACCCTCCCACATCAGTGTTCACTGGCTTTTTTTGGGCAGGCTCATCATGCCGTGGACTTGAAACTGTGGTCAGTCCCGATCCCTAAGTGTACTTGTTCAGGACCTGATCTCCGGAACAAGAGATGGAAGACCTGCCGAACGACTTTTTAAACCTAGACCTTTTCCTTTTAGATAAAGGCTGTCGTGATAATACTTACTGTTTATTGAGCTATTGCTGTGTGGCAAGCGCTATTTTAAATACCTCCTTCCATCTGTTGTTTAAACCTTCCCAGTAACACTATGATGAAGCAACAATATACTTTTTTCCTGTCTTATAGATGGAGAAGCAGGCACAAAGAGATTAATTGCGTGAGGTCCAATAGCTGCTTAGGGGTGGAGCCTACTGTTGAGCCTGGCAGTCTGACCTGGCAGTCTGACCTGGCAGTCTGACCTAGAGCTCATACTCTTAACCCCACAATGCTGCTTACCGTGAGGGTGACGGACCTCAGAGACACAATAAGCAGAGTGTTGTCCAGATTCAGCTGAAAGATGAATACACTTTTGTGTGATGGATGCAAAGAGGGAAATGCCTATTCTAAACACAGTCTAATGGAGAATAGGTGTACAAAAGTAAGATAACCTAGGAGGTGCCAAGTAAGCTGAAGGGCATTTTGATTTCAGGAATTTTTTTACTGAAATGGTTATGTTTTACAGTGAGAAGTTTTCAGAAAACACAGGAATCGTGCTTTGTAAGGGTTAGGGCCTTGAACAGGTATTAGAGTCTAGATTAGGGGGAGGATCCTCAGTGGGAAAAGTTAGCAGGAGCCAAGTCCTGTAGGTAGGATGGAGCATGAAGCATGTGGAGTGACAAGGAGCCTACCCTGGCTGGCACTGCAGAGTGTAGACTGGAAGCATGAAGTTGGGTGCGTGTAGGTGGGGACACAGAAGCCGAGCTGCGCTCGGTCAGACAGGTAGTGACCAAAACTGGGTGGCTCAGTTCTGAAGACTGGTTGCGCGGCAGTGTGAATGTACTAAGTGGTATTAACTGCACACATAGTACTAAACTGCACACTTAAAATGTTCAAGACAGTAAGTTTTATGTTATATATATGTACCACAATTAAATTAAAACAAACTGACCGAAAATGACAACTGAGTTCACACATCTCTAGAACAGGGGAGTTCTAGTCTGGGCCAGCTCGGTTGATCTCTCCTGGGTTTGCTCAGCCGAACCGTTCAGCTGTGGCCAGACAAGCTGGTGGTTGGTACACTGGGGCCATATGTGTCTCATCCAGCAGGCCAGCCCCAGGTGCCTCTCCTGGTGGCTGGAAGAGCACAAAGTTCAGTGTTCGTGCACTTTTCAAGCCTCTGCTCAAGTTATATTTGCTACTTTGGGGCCAGAAAAAGTCAAAAGGAAAGCCCAGAGGATGTGGAGAAAGGTCCCATCTCCTAATCAAAAGAGCCACAAAATTTTGCAGCCATTTTATAACTTAACCACACTACTCAGTCAGTCTTGACAACAACCCTGAAGAGAGAGAGTCCTATTATTGCTGCCATTTTACAGATTTGGGGATGGTGGGATAAAGGTATACAATAACTTTTGTGAGGTCACACAGCTCCTTTGTGGTGGTGCCAGGGTGCCAACTTAGGCTTGTCTGAAGGCCTCCATGTTTTCTAGTTTGGAGGCCACCTGGTGGGATAAAGAGCATATGCTTTGGCTGTTCCCCACAGCCAATCAAATGCCAGCGCTGTCATAGGTGCTCCCAGCGCGCAGCAGGCATTCTACCACTCTTCTTCCCTTCCTCCCTCCTCTCTTCCTGAAACAACTGGAGATAACAGCAGTGAACAAGATAGGTAAAGACCTTGATCTGAGAGTCTGAAGTTGGGATTCAATTTGTAATGTTGAGATTTGGGTCCGGAGACTGGACTTCTCTGTATCTCATTTTTCTCGCTGTAAAAGACACTCTAGCTCAGAGATTTTGATGAACAATACTGTATGACATTATTGGTTTTGTTAGTTGCCCTTTTTCTGAGCCCCTTTTAAACCCTTTGAGCCATTTTAAAATAATTGAGCGCACTTCAAATTAGAGCAAACAGCAAAAACCATTTTTCTTCACTTAACCTCTTAATTTTTCTCTTAAATAACAAAGAAGTTGGTGTGGAGGGCTTACACTTATCAGATATGGAAGGCTGGTTATTTCTATTAACAGGTTTTGGCTATAGGAATTCAGAATTCAGTAAACTTGATTTATGCCAAATTTTTAGAAGCATATCAGTAAATCCAGGGCACACTGCCACCTGCAAGTTGTGACTTCCCTGAGGGTGCATAATGGAAAAAGCAGGTGTTTGGTAAGCATGCAGTTCCATGCTTCTGTCACGCTTAAATCCTGCTATTGTCATGCTTAAATCCTGCTATTTAGACAAATATCTTAAGTCTATTAAGCCTAAATCCTGACTCAGTTATCTAAATAACTTTTGGTCATTTAACCTCAGAGCAACAGTTTGTTCACCGGTGAAACAGATACCAGGTCACAGTCCTGCAGCACATTTCCCAACTCCAAATGGTCTGAAAACAAGGAGTTTGGTAATAAGTCTGGCCCAAGGTTATTTTGTAGCAAAAAAAAAAAAAAAAAAAGCTCTAAATTAAGGTAACCCCACTTAGTATAAATATTCAAATGTTTTGCTGAAGAAATGTTAAGATCAGTTACGGGATGCTACTCCACAATGACTGTGGCTGTATATGCATTTTATTGCCCGTTTTCTACAACACAAATATTCAAAATATCTGAATTCTGCTGAGTGCCGGCCATGAAGATTTCAGGTGGATTGTAGGTCTGTAACACCTTCCTTAAAGGACTTTTTCAGGATTAAAAAGGTACAGCAGGTTAAGGACTTACAGTGATATTTGCACTGTGCTCAAGCATGTAGCTGCTCAATAAATGGAAGTTAATCTTGTCTCATAAATTCAGTTCTCAAAGTTTGTGGGTCTTTCCCCCCCACTTCTGAGGGAACTGCCTAAAGTCTTAACAAAAAACTGTGGAGAGGGTTGGTAGCTTTTCACCTGTGGAACTGTCTTTCATCTTGAGACTGGAGCCCCAGTACTGGGAGTTCAGACTTGCGCTTCTGGCCACCGCACAGGCTTCTTCTAGATGCTCTTCAGTCCCGTCTGCTCTCACTTGAAAGTTCTTGGGAGTGCACTTAATTTCAACAGCGGTAAACATCAGGAGGCTCTAGGGACAGGCAGCAGGGAGCTTCAGCTTATTTTTTTTGTCTTTTCCTCAACTGGGAATCAAGCAGTGGAAATTTTAGTGAGTAGTGTTTTCCATGGTGTGTTTAATAGTTTTATCTTCCTGTGCATTGGTGATTTGAGAAAAATTATTGTTACAGCGTGAGGCACTGAAACAAATAGGTACTGGAAGGAGACAGGCGTGTGATTTATTGACCTCAGTCCCCTCTTGGGAGTGCAGGAGGTGTGCTGGAAAGGAGGGGTAGTGTGTTCCTTAAGAGTGTTGCTCTTCAGAACCAGTGACTGCATGCACCATTGTGTCCAGTGAAACTTGCATTAGACACCTGCCTCCAAACCATTAGGTTTCACTCAGGAGTAAACACGTGGCAGAAAGGAGTCACTGCAGCCTGGTCACAGCAGGTATGTGAAGAGCTGGCAGGGAGCTTAGCCAATAGCGTTCATTCTCTTCGTTTCATTTTACTGTGAAGTCCTGGGAAGGAGCTTGTGAATCGTCTTTGAATACTCTGTGAATGTGTTTATTTATTAATCAGACCTTTACTGAATATTTGATTCTAATATAAGATGCTTAGTATATACTTTTACTAATAATTTGTATTGAACATGGCAGTAACATTAAATTCTGATCGTATAATTTTAAAAAAAGAAAAAGCCTTACTCTTGACAAAATAATATGCATCCATGGTAGGAAATTTAGGAAATGTACACAAATAAAAAGAACATAGTTTATCTAGACATCCCCCTTCCCCCCACACACACACACCAGGGTTATCATTGCAATGTAACTATGGGATTTCTGGTGGATATGCCATATTGTGTTTTTTTAACGACTCCCCTGTTAGATAATTCAGTTTTCCATTTCTCTTTTAATAAGAAGGTGGCAGAGATTGGGGGTGTGTATGGGAACACCTTACTTTTTTTTTTGAACGCTATACTTTTGATTCACTTTTGCTGTAGGCATAAAACTGTTCTAAAATATTGTCTCTATAAAATACATATTTCTGATATGCTTGCATATCAGAATATGGTTTGGTTTTGTTTTTCTGGAAAAACAGTTCTTGTTTTCCTTAGGGAATAATAAAGTTCAGGAAGCAGCTAGTTACAGTTAAGATTTGCAAAGGAAAAGAATAGAAATCTTAAAAATAAAAATAGTTTTCCAGAGACTAGTAGAGGTTTAGCAGGTGTTAAAGAAAACACAGCTGAACAGTAGTTAAAGTGGTAAAAACAGATTTTATTCAGAAAAGCTATTGCAATAGGGGAAAGAGACCTCAGTTATAGAACTGGGCTTCTGTAACTCCTAGTACCAGGAAAAGTGGGCAGTTATAGTCAAGGAGCAGGCAGAGTGGAGGGGAAAATTGTAAGGCAACATCGGGACCAGGACTTTCTGGTACAACGACCTGAAAGGAGCCGGAGGCAGACCAGGGCAATGGGATGTTGGAGGAGGGCTCCCGTCGGATAGTGAGGTTGATCAGGTATCCAAACGAGTTTAGGACTTTTGCTAAAATTGGGCGATGCAGACACAGACACACAAGTGCAGACGTGGAGGATTCAAGGCCTGACTGAAGTTTGATCAAGGAGAGATGAAGTCTCAGGAGGTAAAAGCAAGCTTCTTGCAAGTGGAGCCAGCAACGTTAACTGTACCTTTGGGGTCTAGGGAGAAAGGGTTGCAAGCCAGAGGCCAAGGGGCGGGTCCATCTCCTGTTGCTCCTCGGACCACAATTGGCAGTGGGCGGGCTCTCGCTCCTGGCCTGCCAGTCTGGAGTCTTTTGGAGTGCAAGGAGAGCTCGCCCCGCCTCCTCGGTGGGCGTCTTCCAGCGCCTCTTGGGTCTATGGAGGAAAAACTTGGCGCTGGAGCCTCGTTTCTCATGGCTGCAGTCGCCTGCGGCACCAAGGCCATGTCCCTCTTTAAGCGGACCTTGGTGCTGAGCCCCACCGCGGCACCCAGGGGCACAGGTAGCCCCCCGCGCTGCTGGCCCTCCAAAGAGTGGCCACGGGGAGAGGGCATCTGCGTTCGGCTATTGAGCCCTACGGCTGCCTGCCGCCTGCCCCAGTCTCACTCCCACTCCTGCTCCTCGACGTCTGCTACCTCTGTGTGTCTCCTCTGCCCGCAGGACTCGCTCAGCAGCTCCTTGAAAACTTGCTACAAGTATCTGCATCAGACTAGTCGCAGTTTCGCAGCTGTTATCCAGGCGTTGGATGAAGAAATGCGGTGAGTGGCAGGGGCCTCTTTGGCGTGGGAGGAAAGCTTTCCAGAGGGCTTTGTGTCATTCCGAGCAACTTTTTTTTGACACAGCCCCGATCATTGCACTCTGTGTGCTTGTGGTTAAAGCACAACGTACGCCACTTGAGTAAAGGAGAAGTTCCCTGTTGGAACACCCATGTGTTTACTTTAGACTGCCCTTCCAGGCACCTTGCCATCTAATGATGTCTCTGCAGGCCAGCTCTTTCAAGGAAGGGGGGGTTGTTTATTAACTTTTTTTAGTCTTGGCAGCTGAACCTGTCTCTGAGCAGATCATGGATTTTTTTTGTGCTGCTTTATATTTGTAGTATACCGGGGTAATTCTTCTCAAGTTGCCTCTGTGCAGATTACATGCATACGTGAATTTAAACCAGTTGCCTTAATGTTCAATAGTATTTGTATGAGAAGTTGTATCTCTTGACTTTATTTTTTATATTGCAAATATTATTTTGCAATATCTGCAAAATATTGGTTTCATCTAAACATTTGGTCTGTGGGCCTTTGTACAGTGGTTCTACATTAGTTAATTGTAATTCGTTGTGGGAGTCAGCTAATAGGTTTTTTATTTTTATAAATAAACTACATCAGGCCATTGTTGCTATATAAGAAAGGAAAACTAAGGTATCTGAGGTATGAAAGGCTTTGCATATTCTTTCATAGTTCTGCAGACTGTAGGAGGGTTTAGAAAATGGCCTGGCGTAAATGAGATGTTATTTTGAAATAAATGTCTTTGAGAGTTTGTTCCAGTAATATTAGTACTTCTCCATGTTTTACAGCCATGCAGTGTGCATCTTTTACCTGGTTCTCCGGGCTTTGGACACGGTGGAGGATGACATGACCATCAGTATAGAAAAAAAGATCCCACTGTTACACAACTTTCACTCTTACCTTTACGAACCTGACTGGCGGTTCATGGAGAGCAAGGAGAAGTATCGACAAGTGCTAGAGGACTTCCCCACGGTAGTAGAATTGCAAATCTCTTCTGCATGTGGTTTACAGTGTTTATGATCTGTGGTAGTGTCCGCTAGCCCGCACATCTATAGAAAACCGTTAGATAAGCAGTCTGAGGGCAGCGTGATGTAATGTGATTGGTAAGACTGCCTGAGTTGGAATCTCAACTTTCCCATTTATTTACCGGTGCTTAGTTTGTAGCCTGCCAGTGCCTCATTCTTTTTGTTTTTGTTTTTTTCCCCAACTATAACAGAGAGGTAATAATAGTATCTACCTCATGGTTTTGTTGTGAAGATTAAAAGAGTTAATACAGATAAAGCTCTTAGAGTGGTGTTAGCTTCTGTAACTACTATTGGTGTAGTGTTTGGCCCCATGTTTACTCCTGTGGAAAGATGCACCCAAGTTCTAGTGGCGTAAAGAGGGACTCTCAGGCCAGCCACAAAACTGAGCGCCTGTAACGCAGCGCAGGGAGGCAGCACTGCTGGCGTCCTGGGCGTCCTCGGCCTGGTAGCACGGGTGGGCTGCTGACCACGGGAGCAGCTGTGCTGTAGGGAGCAGCTGGGCTGAGGACTCAGAATCAGGACGATCCTCTGCAGTGTCTATTATAGCTGTGTGGTGTCGGACAAGTTCCTTAACTTCTTGGTGTCCCAGTTTTCTCATTTTTAAAGTTAGAACTGTGAATAAGTTCATATGTGTAAAGTACTTGGAATAATGCCTGGTACATACTAAGTATTCTAGATATATTAGACATTTAGTCCATTCTGTTGGAGTAAAGTGGATTATAATTAAAATTTTGAGCTTTAGAAAACCCTACAAGTTTATATGATATATGTGACTGGGCCCTGCTTTTCTGGAATTTGCACATCTTATCACACAAATAAGTGATTCTTTCATATCTTTAAAGTTTTGATTTAGCAAAGTGTCATGTTCCCTAATGACTCAAAGGAGCCCTTCTGTATATACATAGTCGTTGCCAGAATTTTTAGGCTCTTGCTCTTGAAACAAGTCTATGTTCCTGAGTGGAGACGGAGGGATCCACCCATCACAAAAGAATGTTTGAAAAAGATTCCTTTGAAGTGAAGTCTGTTTCAAATGATTGAGAATATGTTTTCAGTGTCAAAGCCAAAAGCACAGTACAACACAAACCAAAAAGTCTGTGAAGAATAGTTCAGTGGAGTTGATACAGTGCAATACGATATAAAAGAAGACGAAAGGAAAGGAATCTATGAAAAATAATTAAGTGAAGAAATAGAGCGCACACCTTTCTCCATTACACTAGTGGACGGCTCCTGGTATCCCTCCTGCACGCGCTCAGGGCTCTCCAGGGGCTTTGACTCATTCCGAGCAGCTTCCTGACATGCCGCGGCCATTGCCTTCTCTGTGCTTGTGCTGCTGGCTTGAGCAGAACGTGCACCCCAAGTAAAGGAAATGTTAGAACGCCCAGGAAATCTCTGGTAGTTGTGAAACAGAATCACCTGGAGGAGTAAAACCTAGGTCCTCCTGGCTGGCTTCATTGGGCAGAACCTGTTCCTATTCGGGATCGTGCGAACCGGGCACTGAGTTTGGAGTGAGTCAGCAGTGCTCTCCTCCCTCCCTCGGGCTTCTGGGAAAACTGAGCTCTTCACTGTGACTCTTGCCTAGATATTTTTGTTTTCATTTTTTAAATGTATATAATTATGTCATAAGTACCACAGAGTTGCAGGAGATGGTTCAAATTCATCAGGGAAATGTTTGTTTCAGAGTTTTTAAGGGTCTAAACTGCCCCTCCTCCCCACCTCCCTGGCCTTTTCTCCCTTATAAATAGAACTGACCTGGCCAAGGATCCGTGGAAAGAGTGGGTCTGGGGAGACTGAGGGATGCGAAGAACCTTCTTCGGTGGACTTGCTCATTTGTTTTAGTCCACCACAGGGATTACCTCTGGGCTGTGCTTGGAACAACTGCTCTGGAGAAAAAACAGAGTTCTGGCGAGATTGGGTTGATTTTACGGATTTTGGGGTGTTTAACAGTTGATGTTCTTAGAGTAATTCTGAAGTAACTTAGGCTTCCGAGTCCCTTTGCTGCCCTGCAGGCAGCTGGTTTCCCGTTAGGTCCTTAAATTTAGGAGTTTCCTGAGGAAGTTTTTCTAACTCTTCTGTAAATACAGATGAGGTATTTCTCACACTTCATGCATATCAAAGTCTAGTCACTGTCTTCAGTATTGTGTGTTGGGTCTAATGCTATTTTACAGCAGTTTATTTAAGAAGTTTCATGGCATTTTTATATTGTATTTTCATAACTTATAAACACTTCTTTGAACTGAAGGTATTTGTGCAGTAGCAATGAATTTCAAAAACAGCAATAGTACTTTTCTGCATTAGCGCTTGGGCTACAGGGGGAAAAATGTTGGGGTAGCATGCCTGAGAATGAACTAAATTGAGTTCAAAACATGGCCTTGTAGTGGGGAAGGCACTAGAGCTTCTTTATATATATGCATTTGGAAACTGATGATAGAAAATGGTTTGCTGGTTGTTAGAATATAAATGCTGCAGGAACATACATTTCCGGCTGTTTGTTCCCAGTCTCCAAACGGTGCTCATTGCGTGGGACGTGCCAGATACATTAACACTCTTAAGAGCTTTGCCTGAAATGAGGCACTCTTCCTACAATTCTTACATTTATGCCCAGTTTTATGTTGAAGCATCTCATTTATTAGAAAGATGAGTGTATAGTGAGACTTGAGTCTCACTATAGATCTTCTTTTGAGTCTAGAAACTACCATTTTTAGACCCTTCCATTCCAATATTTATAAAAATTTGCTGGCTTTATTATTTAGGATATAGAAAACTAGAGTCATCTAGATGATAGGCTGATAGATGAATCATTTGGGAGTCTTAACTAGCGAGTTCTATTATTGCTTTGCTTTATGACCTGGGTACCACATTGGTTCCCAAGGTAAATACATATTTCACGTGCTCTGTTTTTTATATCTCCATTTCAGATCTCCCTTGAGTTTCGAAATCTGGCTGTGAAATATCAAACAGTGATTGCCGACATTTGCCAGAAAATGGGAGCTGGGATGGCAGAGTTTTTGAATAAGCGCATGACATCGGAACAGGACTGGGAGAAGGTTAGTGTCCCCGTGCAACAGTGTGTGGTACGTCAAGTGCAGCTGCCAGTCCTCACTGTGAAGCTAAGGAGGAAGAAAAAGTTGTCCACCAGTTCCAGGTTTTCTGGTTTTACAACCCATCTATTTAGCTTGAATGACTCATTGTAAACACTAAATACAGGTTTATAGTTTAATGCTGGAAATAATCTGTGTTGTAGAGAGTTTACTGTTCAGTTAGGCCAAAGTAGACATAACTTATCCTGGAGGTACAGACACTATAAAAGTATCTCCGACTTGCTGTGAAATTTCAATAAATGGCTAAATTACTTCATGTCATGTAGAGATATTAGTTTCAAATGTTACAAATGTGCTTGTTTTTCTTCTTTTTCACCACCAAGTCTGTATGTATATAAAACTTAGTATCTGAGTTATTTTCAGTTCCATCTTAATGCAACATTACTTTTTTAAACTGTTAGATTATGTGCTTGTTTCCAGAGAAACAAAAACAGTTCATGACCATCCACAGGTGTTAATTTTGGATTATAGGTGTGTTATGCTGAGGAGTGAGCACCTCTCCAATACTTCTTTCTTTCCCATCATCTTATTTCCTTACAGAAATAAGGCCATATGAGATATTCCAAGTTTCTTGACATGGCCCCATTCCCCAATTTGTATTGCGATAATAACACATTTATGTGGGAATGGCTTTCATTTGGCCAGAGTTTATTCCTGACCAGCAGCTGTGAAGGATATCGACCAGGGGAAGAGTTCGGGGCTGGGAGAGTGCTTCCCTAGACAAAGTGACCGAATTGATATGGGGGCTAAACAAAACATCAAAATACCAGGGAGGAGTGGGGGGCTCGCTGCTTTTAACAGGAATGATGTCTGTGAGCCTTAATTCCTCACCCCAGTGGAAGCTACTACGTTTTAAAAATGTCTAAACTGTGTACATATTTTGTATCTTTAATGGTGTTTAAATTAGGATCACAAAAGGCTACTGTTCATACATACTCCTGAGTAAGCACAAGTCAAAACTTGATGGCAACATCTTTGGAACTGCTGGTAGCGTGTGATGCAAGTGATTGCTGCTGGGATGTTAGTTGATGAATTTAAAGTTAAAGCTGAAACTCCTGGTCAGGAACCAGCACTGGCTATTGCTCAGCGGCTGCCTTTTCTGCTGTGGAGCTTGAACAGGAAATGTAATTCTAGATCGTTGAGTGAACGTTCTGATCAGATAAAACTGACTGCTTGGAAAGATTTTATTTTTCCTTCAACTTTGGAGAAAGTTGAATATTTCCATTCCAGGAATATTTATAAACAAAGATTCCTATCTTAAGATATATTTTCCTTGGATAGCACTGTGGACGTACTAATGCTTTTTAATTTGTAGTAATTCTTTTAAAAATTTTTGTAGTTGTCCACAGCTTATTTCTTGCTCTCTAATTTCAGCTTATCTTTACTCTTTCCAGAATCTTCCTCTCCTAGAAGTTTTTCTTTGCCATTTCACTGCATACCCTTGATTAGTCTCTGGCATTGTATTACTTTTAACCAGAAACACTTAATAACTCCTCTCCAGAGAGTACTTTCTTTAACTACTCTTCACTTCTTAAATTCTCTAATGAATGTTCATTTTACTTTATTACTTATTTCTTAATCATTTTTTATTGTTCGAATACAGTTGTCTCTGTTTTTCTCCCACCACTTTCCCCTGCCCCACCCACCCCTACCTCCCACCCTCAATTCCACCCCTCTTTGTCTTTGTCTAATGGATGTTTATTTGATAAAAGCATTGCATTAACTTTCTCTGGAATACTCTTTTCAGGAGAGGATAGCTGTGACAAACCACTTTTATGGGAAAAAAATTCTTTGGCAATTATTAGTTTACTAAGCTCTCTGTAGAGAATAACAGTTTTAGCAAAGTTGTTAAAGCCTGCCTCTTAAGGCTTTGCTTTAAGAGGCAAGCTTTGCATCACTAGCCGCTAACTTCCTAGATGAGTGATCTTGGGCAAGTTAACTGACTTCTCTGCCTCGGTTTCCACATCTGTAAAATGGCAATAATATTTGTATGTACTGCCTAATATGTTTGTGAGGATTGAATACACAGAATAGGGCAAACGTAGGTTTACAGTTGTTCGCATGGAAAATAATCTAATAATTAATGACTGATAATAAACTGTGTTTCACATATTCACAAGTGTAGCGCTGCTTTTGCCCACACCTGTGTGGAGTGCTTAAAGAGTGTCAAGAATAGAAGCACCCCCGTAGCACTTTGTTCTTCTGTACAGTGAGGACTTGGAGATGCTGCAAGATCTCAAAATATCTTCACGATTGGACTCACTATTCTAGTTTCCATTAGAATATATTTTAAGGGGGGAGAAGGTACAGAGAATAAGTAGCTTAGACGGTAGGTAGAAAATAGATAGGGGGGAGGGCAAGAATAGTAGGGGAAATACAGAATCTAAAGAACTTGAGACACGTGTTCATGAACTAAAGGGGGGGAATGGTGGGGGAGGGGGGTGCAGGGTGGAGGGGAATGAAGGAATAGAACACTGTAATGGCATAATCAATAAAATAAAAATTAAAAAAATAAAATAAAAATAATAAATTTCAAAAAAGAATATATTTTATTCTCACATTGCCTTTACTCTGACTTTTGGATATCAAAAAGTTTATTGTACTGGTTTATTTTTTAAATAACTTTTATTCTCGAAGTAGTGCATGCATGGGCATTGTAGAAATACAGAAAATACAAGTAAAAAAATAAATCACACCAGCCAGAGGTCACTTTTATTAAATCTTTTGTGCACATCCTTCTTGGATGTTTTTACTTATTTGTCCCTAGTGTATATTTGTGTCTTTAATCAAAATGAGATCTTGTACATTCTATTTGGAACCTGTTCTCTTGTAGCTAATGATCTCGAGCACTTTCATTTTAGTAAAATTTGTGTTATTGAAGTACTTTAAAAATAATCTTTTGCAGTACTGTCACTATGTGGCTGGGCTGGCGGGAATCGGCCTTTCTCGCCTGTTTGCGGCCTCAGAGCTGGAAGACCCTCTGATTGGAGAAGAGACGGAGTGCTCCAATGCTATGGGTGTGTTTCTGCAGAAAACAAACATCATCCGCGATTACCTGGAGGATCAGCAAGAAGGAAGAGAGTTTTGGCCTCAAGAGGTAACAAACCCAGGGGACTTGGGGAAAGAATTTTAAACGCTTTCTGAAAACAAATCCTGCCCTGGATGGTGTAGCTCAGTGGATTGAGTGCGGGCCTGTGAACCAAGCAATCACGGTTCAATTCCTAGTCAGGGCACGTGCTTGGGTTGTAGGCCAGTTCCCAGCAGGGGACGCACAAGAGGCAACCACACACTGATATTTCTCTCCCTCTCTCCTTCCCTTCACCTCTAAAGATAAATTTAAAAAACAAAACAAAAAAACCCCCAAATCCTATTAAACCCTTGTGGTTGCAAGTGACAGGCAGATCAAACTACCTTAAGCAACATAAAAGAATGTATAAAGCAGGTTAAGATTCAGTTTGTTTCATGTAGGTAGGAGTTCAGACCATGTGATCAGGCCCTGCACCCTTTCTCTCCTGACGGGCATTGGCCAAGTGTTGGGTACAATAACCCATGACTCTCCACCTACTAGCTTAACAAAAAGTCCTTAGGAAGGCCTGATTCATAGGGCTGGTTCCTATTAATCATTTACAGAACCCCAGGGATGAGTGGTGTGTCCAGACCCAGGTCATATTGCCCATCACACATAGCATGGATTCTCCCCAAAGCAAGGATTCTAGGGCAGGAAAAGGGAAAGGATGCTAGATAGGCAAGAACTACAGGTGTTCACCTTAACAGACAAGCGCTGATCTGTGACACTTAAAGACTAGACAAAGGCAGGGCTTTGACACTGATTTTTATTTAGAAGGAAAGCTAGAAAATCTTATGACCATTTGCTGATTTTATTCCAGCATTTACCTTTTACTTTCTATAAAATGGTTTTCTAAAACCAAGTGTTTTTATTTATGTTTAAACTTTATGTATTTAAAGTTTCCATTCAGTATTGTTTTGTATTAGTTTCAGGTGCACAGCACAGTGGTTGCATAGTCATGTGCCTTACAGAGTGGCCCCCCAGCTGTTTCCAATGCCCCCCAGGCACCCCCCACAGTTATTGCAGTATTACAGACTCTGCCCCTTGTGTGTACTTCATGTCCCATGGCTGTTTTGTGACCACGAATGAATGTGTAATGCTGGATCCCTCCACCCAGTCCTCCAACCCCTCTTCCTCCTGGCAACCATCAGTCTGATGTCTGTTGCTGTGAGTCTATAAAACCAAGTGCTTTCGAAGTGAAAAAAGGCAGGTGGCAAAGTGGGAAAATATTTGCAACTTACACTGCAGATAAAGGGTTAATGTGCCTAATATTTTTAAAAACTCCTAAAGGTTAAGAAAAAGATCAAGCACCCTGTAGAAAAATGGGCAAAGAGATAAGAACAGTTAGCTCATGATCCTTAAACATCTGGAAAGATGATCCATTTTACTCTTAATGGGGAAAATCTACATTAAAACTACCCTGAGCTGAGACATCAGAGTTTTTCAAGTTTCCCAGGTGATTATTATGCAGTTAGGGTTCAGAACAGCTCTTGACCATCCTTCTTTGACACCAAGGCTTAGAGAAGGGACAAGGGTTTTTAAGACTGCCAGTGAGTCCGTGGTCACCCCTGAAGGGAAGCTGCAGTCTCCTGTGTCAACCCAGTGCCTGTCCAGAATACCCTGCTGCCTCTGCAATAAGCACCAGCTCTGTGGTCCTGTGTACCTCCCTCTGGCCCACCCCCACCCCGCTTCTGTGAAATAGAAGCACAGATAGAACTGCAATGGACCCTTGAACAGCACTGGTTTGGACTGTATAGGTCTGGTTATACCCTGGGTTTTTTTTTTAATAAATATGTGGTCAGTCCTCTGTGTCCTTGGGTTTTGGATCCCACAGTTCAACCAGCAGTATTTTCGACTGTGGTGTGGAATCCATGTATGCAGAAGGCTGAGTGTATGCATTAGTATGCAGCATTTTATACAAGGAACTTGAGCATCCTTGGATTTCGGTATCTGGGAATCTGTGGGAATGCTGGAACCAGTCTCCTATGGATACCAAGGGATGACTGCAGTTAAATTTGGGGGAAATCAAAAGTTAATGTGGGACTTCTAGCCAAGATAGAGGTGTAGGTGGAAACACTGTGCCTCCTCGCACAACCAAGTTTAAAGACAACAAAGTTTTAGTAACAAAAATGCAGCCAAAACACAGAAAATGGAACTGTACGGAAGTCCGACAACAATGAACCATTCAGCCAGACCTGTGAGAGGGGTGGAGTCAGCGGTGGAGTGGGTTCGGGCAGGAAAAATTGGTCTGACTGACCCAGGAGCGCAAGCAGTGGCTGGCTGATCCCAGGCATGGGGTGGCAATGGGCAGACCCAGTGAGGGCACAAGGTGGCTGGCTGACTGTGGTCACACATTCGTGTGCAGATAACCAAGCAAAGGAGCAAGCAGTGAGACACACCACTCAGGCTAGGGCCCCGGCAACAGGAATTAGAGCCTGAAAGTACTGATTGGAAAGACTTTCGGGGTCCAGGTGCCAGGAGAAGCTCCCAGGCTCACAGAGAGTTTGTTGGAGAGACCCACAGGGTCCTGGAGGGTGCACAAGCCCACACACCTGGGGACCAGCGCCAGAAGGGCCCAATTTGCTTGTGGGAAGTGGCAGAGGGGACAGAAATCTGAGAGAGAGCAGAACAAGTGCCATTCCCCCTCTCTGATCCCACCCCCACATACAGCTTCACAACCCAGCAACCTGGGTGGCCCCACCCTGGTGAACACCTGAGGCTCCGCCCCTCATACATAACAGGTATGAACAGACCAAAACATGATGGCTCAAGAACAGCTCAAAGTCCCAGAGCCAATAAATCTAAGCAACCAAGAGATAGCTAACCTTTCAGATGCACAGTTCAAAACACTGGTGATCAGGATGCTCACAGAACTGGTCGATTTTAGTCACAAATTAGAGGAACATATGAAGGCTAAACTAATTGAAATGAAGGGAAACGCACAGGAAACCAATAGTGATGAAAGGAAACTGGGACTCAAATCAAGGGAGTGGACCAGAAAGAGGAAAAAAATGACCAAACAGAAAAGGATGAAGAAACAAGAATTCAAAAAAATGAGGAGAGGCTTAGCAACCTCCAGGACATCTTTAAACACTCCAACATCCAAATTATAGGGGTACCAGAAGGGGAAGAGGAAGAGCAACAAGTGGAAAACTTATTTGAACAAATAATAAAAGAGAACTTCCCCATTCTGGCAAAGGAAACAGACTTCCAGGAAGTCCAGGAAGCTCGGAGAGTCCCAAAGAAGTTGGACCCAAGAAGGAACACACCAAGGCACATCATCATTACATTAGCCAAGGTTAAAATGAAGGAGAGAATCCTAGAAGCAGCAAGAGGTAAGGGGACAGTCACCTACAAAGGAGTTCCCATCAGACTGTCAGCTGATTTCTCAAAAGAGACCTTACAGGCAAGAAAGGGCTGGAAAGAAGTATTCCAAGTCATGAAAACCAAAGACCTACATCCAAGATTGTTCTATCCAGCAAAGCTTTCATTTAGAATGGAAGGACAGATAAAGTGCTTCTCAGATAAGATCAAATTCAAGGAGTTCATCATCACCAAGCCCTTATTATATGAAATGTTAAAGGGACTTATCTAAGAAAAAGAAGATAAAAAATATGAACAGTGAAAGGATAGCAAACTCACAGTTACTAACAACCACACCTAAAACAAAAGCAAACTAAAAGGACAGCTAGATCAGGAGTGAACCATAGAAATGGAGATCATGTGGAGGGTTAGCATTAGGGGAGTGGGCAAAGGAGAGAGGGGGAAAAGGCACAGAGAATAAGTAGCATAGATGGTAGGTAGAAAATAGGGGGAAGGCAAGAGTAGTGTGGGAAATGTAGAAGCTAAAGAGCTTATGACACATGGACGTGAACTAAAGGGAGGGAATGTGGGAGGAAGGGGTGTGCAGGGTTGAGGGGAGTGAAGGGGGGAAATAGAACAACTGTAATGGCATAATTAATAAAATATATTTAAAAGAAAGAGTTAATGTAGATTTTCAACCAAGTATGATTACCAACAATAACTGAAGATATTTTTATATATGTTAGCCGAACTCTATTTTTTATGGTTATACTTCTGTCTAAATTGTCATAATAGACATCTTACTTACCCCACTTACTTAGTCTCGGTTTGTGCTCGCCACCGTCTTTATGTTGGTGTTTCTCGTCATTCTGTTTTCCCAAAGGTCCTGCTCTGGCAGACAGGAAAGGCCCATCAGAACGTAATTCCCTCTGCTGATATATATATATTGATAATAGTTTATCAATATGTTTGTGTATTTAAACTATGTACAATAAACTTTTTATTTGAAGATCAGTTTCTCTGAATATAAAGCTTTAGCTCTCATTGTTGGGCATCCTGAATGTTTTACTACCATTTTCTTCTGCTTTAAAGAAGCAGCAGATTTTTCAACTGGCTCTTGAAAAATTTAATGAACTTACCTTCCTTTTCCCTGTAAGTTACAGGTTCTTATTTCTTTTCCTTGGTGGTCATTGTCTAGATCCATTTTCATTGGAGATACCAAATGGTGTGATCTTAATTCTGTCATCCTTTCTGCACTTACCAGCTAAAATTTTAAGTTTTGTGAAGATGGCAATGGTGGTGGCAGCAGCTTAGTTCTGGGATTTTTTCCAAATTCTCACCAAAAAAAAAGATGAAAGCAACTCGACAGAAACAAAACAAAACAAAACAAAACAACCAAACAACAGCCCCAGAAGCCAGCTCGTAGACAACGTGTACAAAATCATTCAGGATCACATTGTCCCAGGAACTCCAAAACAATGTCAGGTGCAGACAGAGTGCCAACACCGCAGACAAAGCCCGTGTGCTGCCACAGCCTGTGCGGGGGACAAGGGTGGCCGTGGGGTGCCTGGCACACCTGGAAACTGGAGGCCCCGGGAGAGCCGACTGGTAACCGCGGGGCAGCAGGGTGGGCCCCTTGGAGAAGAAGAGGTGAAACCGGGAGAGTTGCTCCTGCTCCAGTGGGTGAGCCCATGGGGGCAAGGCGACACCTGGGGGAGCGGAGTGGACTCACCCCTTTGAGCTGGACAGTGACCAGCCAGGATTCTCTTCTAGGTTTGGGCCCCTCCTTGTGGAGTGAAATGAAAATCGACAGAATAGACCTAAGGAACACCAACCAAATGCAATACATGGATCTTGTTTAGGTCTTTATGTGAGCAAACCAAGTGGACAGAAAATACAGATAATGGGGTCATTTGAACACTAACTAGATAGTTCGTGTTTTGTATTCAACATTTATTGTTAATTTTTCGATGTGATAAGATAGGTGTAAGGTTCCTCCTGGTCTTTTAGAAATCCATAACGAAGTATTTGTGGATAAACTGATGTATCAGGGCTTAAAAAAAAAATAACACTGGGCTGGGTGGGGGCACACACAGATGGAACAAGATGTGGCCAGGTGTCGGCCATTGCTGAGGGTGATAGATGGATGCCTAGAACCTAGTTTCTCCAGGTTCTGCAGAACAATCCAGTACGATGCATCTCGGTGGGTCGAAGTGCAGGTTAAGAATGGATAACAAATTTGACTTTCCATAGAACTTCTTAGCGTTTTTAAGGCCTAGTCATTTATTTTGGGGAGTGTTATTCTTTAGGAAGTTTAAGAATTATCCAAGAATAAAAGTAAGTCATTTGCTAGCTTCAGAGAGTCCTCTAAATACTAAAAAATATCCGTGAATCTCAAATTGAGGATGTTATTTCACTTTCAAGTTCCCAAGATCCAGGGAGGTAACGTTTGCTCTTGGGGTATAAATCTAGCTCATTTTCCCCTGGTGTGCTCGTTCAGTAGCATTCTTACCAGAATTGAGAATGTGATATTAATCATTAATTATTTTGAGGCCTGGCAACCTTGAGAATATTTACCTAGAACTCTCGTGGCCAATTTTGTATATATCTGGTTATTTTTTTCAATAGACTAAAGCCTTCTGGACATAGGAGGCATCTTTAGTCTGAGGTTACAAAGTATTGCTTTTAATACACATGGCACTAATTGTCCTAAAGGGACACTTTCCCAAACACTTCCTGTATGCTTGGGTTGTGATTATATCCTGACTTGTAGTCATAAATACCCATTAGGTATAGCTTAGAATGGACTTGATTTTGGTGAAAGATGAGTCAGCAGCTAAAGAACTATCATAGCTCTTATTCACAAAGATTTTTTCATAGTGCCTGGACATTTTCCCTTGTGCACCTCTTGACTTGTTTTTTGATCTTTTTATCTGTCTAGGTTTGGAGCAAGTATGTTAAGAAGTTGAGTGATTTTGCTAAGCCAGAGAACATCGACTTGGCCGTGCAGTGTCTGAATGAACTTATAACGAGTGCGCTACACCACATTCCAGATGTCATCACCTACCTTTCCAAACTTAGAAACCAAAGTGTGTTTAACTTTTGCGCTATTCCCCAGGTATGGGACAAGGCTGTGCTGGTTGTATGTGGAGAAGGGAGGCCAAAGGGAGTGAGGTAGTGGGGGTGATGGGGGTAGCTGGACTGCACCTGCTGTTTCGGTCTGCTGTATTCAGGAGCATGGCTCTTTAAAAATATGACTGTAGTTTTTTTGTTTTGTTTTTTTATCTGGGGGCGGGCAGTATTTCATAATACCTCCCCTTTGCCTCAACCTTTACCCTCGGCTAAGCCTTGATTGATGGAAGGTCTGCCCCTGTCCTGGGTTTATGGGGAGAGCTAATGTAAGTGAGGCTGTAATGATTAAAAAGTCTTAAGTAAACGCCTAAAATTTGCTGTTATTTTCTTAGACTCGGGCTAACAGAACCTGACCCTATGGACCTAGCTCCTTGATATCCTAGGAGCTTATACTTTTAAAATGCCTTTACCAGTTCCATGTTTAACTCAGTTGAGTGAAGAAAAGCATAGGATTTAACTGATTTGCAAACTTGGTTTAATCGTGTTCTAGTAGGCAGATTTGAATCTGAATGGTTGTTGGAACTGAGATCTGTGTACCTGACCTAGCTTTTCATTTATCCTAGAAAGCATTTCCCTTGGAGCATGGGACACTACCTTCCCTTTTCTTTCTTTTGTCCCCTACTCACCTCCCCCATGCTGCTTTTTTAAAATCTATAATGATTATGTTCATTGTAGGAAAATAGAAAGAAAAGCAAAATAGAAAAAACTTATCAGTCATTATTTTTTTGAGATTAGTTTTCAGATCTAGTAACTCATTGCCCTAGCATGGAAAATGTTTCATTGGCTTGTTGTTTGTTGCTTCCAAATACAAAAGAACTTTGGTCACTAAACCACGGAATTATTTAAGACTGCAGACACCGCTTGATTAATGTTTGTTGAGAAAGGGAGGAGTGGGAAAGGTAAAAGTCTTGACATATTTTCTTCATGGGTGATTTTTCTTGGTAAGTTACAGCTTGGCTCTTTGGCAGCTCTTTCTCATTCTACAGAAGGCTTTTCTTACCTTTTCACGATGATAATTGCTTCCAGTGCCGTTTTGTTCTCTTGTTTTATGAAGTGGAATGAATTTGTGTGTCTTTTTTCCCTCTCCCCCTATTTAGGTAATGGCCATTGCTACTCTGGCTGCCTGTTACAATAATCAGCAGGTGTTCAAAGGGTTAGTGAAGATTCGGAAAGGACAAGCAGTGACTTTAATGATGAACGCCACCAACATGCCAGCTGTCAAAGCTATATTATACCAGTATATGGAAGAGGTGGGTTCTATTCAACCATGTAGGTAATTAGTAACTATTTTAATGATTTAAACAGTGCTCACTTATGTAAACATTTCACCTTTGGATGTTAGATGATCCTAGCAATTCACTGGATTGTGGCATAAAGAGATAAGATTGTGGCCTTGATTAGGAGAGGAGTGTGCACACCAGGAGCTGGCTGGTTGTTCGGAGCTGCCCAGGCCTCTGGTGAGAGTTGTTCAGTGAAGCAAGGCTGGGACTATTAAGTAGAATCATGTTTTTTGAACTAGGAGATGATGTTAGGTCTAGACCAGCCTAGCTGCTTGTTTACAGGTGAGGAGTGTGCGGCCGAGGCTTGTGAATACTAATACATTATCTGATTGCTGGCTCTTGGGCCCCAGTCCTCACTTCCTGACCCCACTCAGTACTTCCCATTCTAGCATGGGCCTCTGCTGAGAAACTACAGCAGGAAATTTTACAGAGGAAAACCATCAAGTTGCAGTTATTTCTATATTTTCTAGTGCAGATGCCATTTCACATACCAAAACTATCCTGTAGAATAAAACATACCGGTTTAGGTCAAATCTCTAATAAACTATGACTAGGTTCCAAAGAACGACTTTTTAGTTCTAGCGCTGATCGCCAGCCCTAGAGCGGTAGTCTGCAGATGGAGGGGATTTTGCCTCCGTGTTCCCTCAGGGGACGTTTGGCAACATCTAGAGACTTGGCCACCTGGAGACTGGAGGAGGCCTCAAGATGTTTTTGAAGACTGAGGGACTACAGGAGTATCTGAAACCATAAAATGACACCTCCCCCACCCCGCCCCAGAGCTCACCACTGCCGATAGTTTTGCGCGCCACGCGGTCCCCTGGTTATGCCCCGACAGGAACGCGATTTGTGATGGAGGTTTCATCCTGACAATTCTGCAAAACCATTACTCCCCCTGGTTTCTGTTGCATATGGCACGTTCTCCTTGTATCTCCTTCCCCTTTTTTTGAACCTCAGCTTTTATACCAGAGGCACCCGTAGAAGGTATATGAGAAAACCTAATCTTTTTAAAGTCCTAAAATTCTTTTAGTGACTGGATGAAAGTGTTCAGCCATCGGCCAAAAAAGTTTTGCCGACGACACTCAGAACAGTCCTGTTTACCATGTAGGCAGCACTTATGTGCGGCTTACTATGTGCCTGGCCCAGCAACTGGATGGGTTGGAACTGTTAGGATCAAGGAGACTTGAGGCACTAACCCCGCTGGAGCCATAATTTGGACCCGGGTCTTGCTGACTTCAGAGCCTATGCTGTTCACGATTCTAAGCGGTTGAATTAACCTTTTTGCACTGAATACAGTTGGCCCTCCATATCCTCAGGTTCCACATCTAGGATTTAACCAACTACAGGTCAAAAATAATTGGAAATAAAAGTTACCTTGTTGCTGACATGGACTGTGTAGTTAAATCTGCAATGGATGTGCCTCTACTAAAGATGTACAGATGTTTTCGCCCTTGCCATTATTCCCTAAATAATGCAGTATAACAACTATTTACATAGCATTTACATATTAGATATTACATATAAGGAATCTAGAGGTTATTTAAAGTGTACTCAAGAGGATGTGAGTAGGTTATATGCAAATACGGTGCCCTTTTACTTGAGGTGTGTGGGCGTCCTCCAGTTCTGGTGTCCGCGGGGGTGTCCTGGAACCAGTCTGCTGTGGGTGCCCAGGGGTGGCTGTGGGGCCGTTCTAGCCGTCACTTCCCCATTTTCTATGAATTAGAGACATTTTACGTGGTCTGTATGTAGTTCAGGGAATATTTTAATTTTGCCATTTTATTTTTTCAGTAATTTTAGAAAGTCTTTTTTTTTAATGCTCTAGGCAATTCTGTATTAAAAATGGGGATTTTATTTGGTGTTTTTTTTTTTAAATATTTTATTTATTTATCTTTAGAGGGGAAGGGAAGGAGAGAGAGAGATTCTTCGCGGGAGGAGTCTGACTGGGAAGTTTCTTAACCTTTGGAATTAAATCCTAGTTGTGACTGACAGCTGGATTTAGGGTGAAGGTAGGCCAGCCACAGCTAGCTGATCCCCTGTTCTTGCAGATGGCCTTTTCTTGGAACACAGCCACACCTCATGTTTACTGCCATCTGGCTGCTGGGGAACACAGTGCAAAATGGGGCAGCTGCAGCCGAGGGCAACCCGCGAAGCTGGCCTCTGCTTTCGGCAGCAGTTACTTCGTTTAAAGTCGTCTGTCTTAGCAGTACCTGTGACATTGTATACATTTATAAATATAGGCTTATAAAAGCATAACGAGAGTAGTTGTAAAAATAGCTACACCAGCCTGTGACTGAGGAGGAGTAACGTAAGGGAATTTTGACGTTTTACTTTTATTTTTGTAGTCCTTGTTTTTTACAATTCCATCATCTAAAGTTTTTGAAAGAAATTAAAGAAGAGATTGTACTTTAATCCTCATTTCTGTTCTATATGGTCGTCCTTTCCAGCATCATATTAGATATTAGACAACACTCGTGTAATTCCTGTAGGCACATTCTTTTGTTTCTTTTATGAAATTGCAGCTGTGCTTTTGGGGGGGGGAGAGGGGAAGGTGGCAAGAATAAATGTTTGAGGCATTTATTTTTTAAATGCCTGCTCTGTCCTTTTCCTCCACTTTGCCTACGTCTCTGCTCAGATCCCTTCCCATCGTAATGGCCTCCTGACTGGTTTGTCACTGAGTCGCTGAGCGTTTATGGAAGGCCCGCTGTGTGCCAGGCACGGTGCTAGGCTGGAGACAAGAAGAGGAATAAGATGAGGTGCCTTTGAGCTTGCAGTCTAGTTAGGGAGACAAATGCAAAAAGAGGATTTGAGTGTAAGAAATAAGGCAGGAGTAGGTGTGGGAGAGTGGCGCTCCGGCCCTACCCAGAGGCTCAAGGCAAGTTTTCTGGAAAACATGATACAAAGTTAGGCAACAGGTAAGAGTCAGCCAGAGGAAGGAATGTGGGAGCAGCACTTCTGCGGAGGGAGTGGGGTGAGCAAAGAAGGGAACAGAGTGTGCAGTGGCGGTGTGCGTGCAACACAGCACAGGCAGTTGTTTCTTCCTCGGGTGAGGAGGGGAGCAGCACCGTGAGCCCGGGCCACGCCAGCCTCGCCTTCTACGTGGGGAGCTCAGACCGTGCTCAGCTGGTGCAAGGGAGCCACTGAGGCTATCGGGCCGAGGTTTTAGATCTTTTTGTCAGTGTGGAGAACAGATACGTGGATTTTGGAAGTTAAGCCTAGAGGCAGAAGCTCAGTGCTTAATGAGAGTTCCCTGGGGCTGAGCCAGGGTTGGTACCTGGTGGCATGTGGAGGAAGACTGGGTTCGGGAGGTATCTTGGACGTTTGCAGTGGGTAGGAGGTGTGGCAGTGCAGGGAGACCTCTAGGATGCCCGGTCCTGCCCGTCCCACAGCTTCAGTCTGCTTGTCCTAAGCTGCGTCCCCAGCCTTCCGGCGGTTACTTCCCCTTCTTAGTGGTATTTCGCACAGTCTGAAAGCTGTGCTGACATGCCCGAGCCCCTGCTGTGCTCCCTGCTCTGGGAGCCCTGGGGACAGGCCATTGGTGAGGACCATAGGAGCTCCCGGTGCAGCGGGGCTCAGGCCTTTCTGGCAGCATGGGCTTTGGGGTTTCACAGGCCTGGGATGACACCGTGCCTTACTAGTGGAGTGACTCGGGTTGTTACTTCCACACTCTGTTTCCTCACTGGTAAAATGGACTTAAAATCTCTCCCTGTTTGGGGCTGTTGTAAGAAGTCAACACATAACATGTTTATAAAGTTCCTAGGAGTCGGTAAGAAGCACTTACCATATTTTCTTTCTTTTACAGATCTATCATAAAATCCCCGACTCAGACGCATCCTCTAGTAAAACCAGGCAGATCATCTCCAGGATCAGGACACAGAATCTTCCCAGCTGTCAGCTGGTCTCCCGAAGCCACTACTCCCCCATTTACCTGTCATTTGTCATGCTCCTGGCTGCCCTGAGCTGGCAGTATGTGAGCACCCTGTCCCAGGTCACAGAAGACTGTGTCCAGACCGGAGAACACTGATTTGTTTCCCATGAAGAGGGTTGACCTTTTTTCAAGAACAGATATTGTCTTCCCCTTTCTCCTGCTTTAATCCTATAAGAAATCTGTTGGCTTTAGTCTTGGGAAACAGTCTTGGGCAAGCAGCTGAGAAGAATAAAAGGATATGTCATCCTCAGCCCCTGGTCCTTGTAGGTTGTGCTAACCTGGGCGTGGTGGCTGACGGCCAAGCCCTGGGTGCTGCCAGCAGGGGAAGTGATTGCAAGTGGGACTGCTGACAGACGTTAGCGAGGGTCCTGGCTAGAATGATAATGGAATGCATTTAACTGGAAGCAACCTCTGAATACCCACCCTAGCAGCAAAGTGAAATGAATTTTCCTTACGTGTGTTTCTCCTGTTTTGCTTACCATTTTTACTTTCTTTGGTTGATTTGAATGTAATAGCTGTAGTTTATAGCTCTAGGTAATTTTTCTGTTTCCTTCTAAGAATGCAAACTGTCTTCTGCACATGAAGGCTAGGAATTAACTTCTGGGTATTCTGGTGTTATTTTCTTCTTTAAAGAGAGTTTAACTCTCTGAAAGAAACAGCAGGACTACCTTGGCCCCATTGTTGAAGACTGGGTTTCCCTTCAGGCTGATATGTTTGAGAAAATTTTTATAGTAATGAATGAATTACTCTGCATTTGTCAAGGGCAGCTCCCTCAAAAGCCTGGGTGAGCATGACAGATAAGGAACTCAAGAGTGGGGTTAGTGCTTGAGGGGCAGACAGCGAGCCGCTGCCACCACCAAGCCACTAGAGCAGTGCAGAGAGGGGACACAGCTGCCTGGCCCCTGCATGACTGCCTGCTGGGAAAGTAGCAAGCGGCCTGGAGCCTGCGCTAACTGCCAGCCTTCTGGATTTCAGGCCAGTTCTCTTACCTGCATTCAGGGCTTTAAGTTCAGCTTTTGTTTTTAATTACCAGTTTATACACTGAAGTCTCAAGAAAGGCAAAAGCCATGTTCAGGGGCTTGAAAGCCGAGTGGTACTCAGCCTGATTCTCAGCACTGTGGCTCGCCTTCCTCCTTACCCAGTACAGCCGAGGTTGGTGATGGCCTCATACTCACAGCGACTTGCTGAGATTGCAGCCTGGAGTCGGGAGGATGTGGCCCCCTCACTAGGGGTGTTTGAAGAGGCCCCGCAGCCTGACAGTGGAGGTGGTAGGGCCTTCGACTGCTTTCTGGAAGCTGTCAGTGCTCAGCGTACATAGTCTAGTCTCTTTTGCTGCAGTTCTTTACGTTCAGTGACTTCTTGAGTTTGAGGGTTCTCCATCAACAACGTTGGATTGCACTGTTACACACACACCACACAGACTTCCCTCCTCTGACAGCCGCTTCCACCTGACACAGCCTACTTAGTTGTTTGGTCCATGGAGCCTTCAGTCAGTTGGTTCATTAGAGGCTTAGTCCTTGACACACTAAAGTGACTCGCCACGTACCTACCATACAGCTGAGTCAGACCCGTAATTTGCCAGGTTGTTTAAAGCATCAAAACTTGGTTTGAGACTCCAGGGTAGGTTAAAAATCTTGAAATCTAAGGTTCTGCTGGAGTTCACGCAAGACAGGGCCTTGATCTGAGGTGGACAGACTGGAATCTTCTGGCTCAGCCATGGCCTGTGGGATTTGTGTGGTTTAGGTGAACTCTTAGGTCCCTCCCAGCTATGAAGCTGTGTGATGTTGACTCACCCACTGGTGCAAAGGTCTAACACCTGATTTCCCTCTCCAAAGTTCTTTGGCAGATGCTTCTAAGTGTTTCTCTACTGAAACTGCCAGATAAAATGCAGGTTAAACTTGGATTTCAGATACTTTTTTTTTGTATAAATATCTAACACATTTCATGGGACATTTATGTAAAAATTGTTAACCTGAAGTTCACATTGGGCGCCCTTCCTGGGCAGCCCCGCCCTCCCTTTAATGCAGTGCGTCATCACAGGCCGTGTTCCTGGCGTGCAGCCTGCTCGACTCCTCACAGCAGAACGTTTTACATTTTCCTCAGGGAAGTAATAGCTGAGGTTGTCAATGAGGTAATGATCAATGGCCATAAGCTGAAGTTTACTATTGGTATTGATCCTGGCTATAAGATTTTTTTCTACAGATTTTCATATTCTAACAAGACTTCAAGCCAAGTGTGAAGGTGACCTGCAGTGTGTATACTTGCGCCACTCATCACACCTCTGCCAGCTCTCGAGGTCAGGGTGGAGTCGTGGGGGGTGTGGTAGAGAAATGTGGAAGTGGGATTGTTAGACTCGGTCTGGGAGTAGGTAGACCGTCAACTTCATTGGGGTGATGAGCATGTTCTAATTGAAATGTTAATAAAATGGTTACACACTTGTAGCTGTGGTCATTCTTGCTAACCATTTCATGTCGTGAATTTCCCACGTTTCCCCTACAATGTGCACAGGGTGTTCTGAGTCATGGCAGAAGGCAAATGCTGCATGATTTTGGGAAGAGCTAGTCCAGCTCCTTTGGGGAAGGGAAGTACTTGTATCCACAGGTTAGGGAGGTGGGTTCCTGTTCCCTAAGAACTAACCGGTGGACCTCATTGGCGTACAGTCCTTAACAAGGCCTATCCAAAGGAAGTCATTAACCAGCAGTGTAAATTAGTCAGAGGGAACTCCAGATAGGGCACACGCAGGCTCTGCCTCCACCCCGTCCCAGCACCGGAGGGGACCACAGAGAAAGCTGGTCCTCCAACAGGACACCAGGGTTGGTATCACCAATATACCACATCTGTATAAAACTTTAGGTGTCTGCTGCTTTGTGGTTCGTTAAGAACACAAAAAAACACAAACTAAGTTCTTAGCACTTGAAGCAGGGGTGGAGCTCATCGTGCCTGGGGTGCACTAAAGACAGGAGCTGTGGTTGGAAAGTACACTGGAGCGGTGAGAAAGCCAAAACGAAGTGTTTATTTCATTCCCTCCCTTTGAAGCGAGACAGCCCTGATTGGAGCTGCGAGCCTCCGCGTCCACGAGAACATGGGTCTTCTGGGGGACAAGGACGGGCAGCAGCAGCTGCAAGTCTGCAGGTGGAGGAAAATGACCTCCGAGATCCCATCTGCACACATACTTCACATTGAAGGAAACCTTTTATTGGCACAGTCATTCCTTTCCTTGTGATTTAATAGGGGGAAGCAGCGGTTTTTAAACAAGGGCTGGTTTCTCCCAAACTATTTTCACTGTGGTATTGGAGGTCAGTAGGTCAGTCAAATCAAGACCACCCGGTTTTAAGGAGAGTGTCTGTAGAACTAGCACAGATCTTCCAACTGTTAAGACTCATTCTCATGATCAGCTGAGGCGCACAAAAAAATAAAACTTCTATTTAAAAAGAATCATGCCAAGGACAAGATCAGAGCAGGTTAGCAACATTGCAAAGCCTGACAAATGCAGGGGCCCTGGGGAGAGGCTTTTCCCCAAAGGGCTGCAGTACCAATTTTCTCCTTGACCTATTTCTGAATCTAGAAAACTACTTGCTTGGAAGCACTGCTGATGGGTGGGGAGGAGGCGGGGAGGATGGGGAGCTATCTTGTTAAGATATCAACCTTTTGTCCTTCTGGAAAGTCTAGAACCCTTCAGTTCTGTCGTGCTCCTCGGTGATGCAGATGGGGAAGGGTGGAGGATGTGGCAGTGGGTTGCAGCGGCAGCCAGAGCAGCACTAGTCTTGGGGAAGGATCTGCTCTGCTTGCAGCAGTGGCTTATGTGGTCTAAGTGCATTGTGACAACAGTCCATCGAACGGCTGGGAGGCAGCCCGGCCTTGGGTGTGTCTCCCTGGAAGAGAGTTCTCTTGGTGGACATGAGGTTTGGCCCAGTCCAGCCCTTCAGGCCTTGCCTACAATCTCTTGTTTGCTACTTGAACTCAAAGAATAAAAGACATTCCTATCCCTCTTCTCGTCCCCAGGCCCACTGGCTGCATGTAGGGAAGAACTGCCCAGGACTGGCTGGAAGGGCCCACAGAGGTTAGATCCTTTCTGAGTAGTGCTCCGTGCATGGGACCCCAGCCACAATTTCTGATTCGATTCCACAGTGATCCTGGCCTCTCAGGATTTTAAAGAAACCTAGAAAGCAAAAAGAAGGTATCTTTAAAGTGGGCCTTGAGTGCTGGCTTTTGCCAACGTGTTCAGACTCCTGAAAGACCCGGGAAGGCGAAGTCACCAAGCTAGCCCCTGAAGAGACCCCAAACCAGCACCGAACCAGCAGGGTGCTCTCTCAGGGCCCACTGTTTGCCCAGGGACCCAGCTCCATCCACATCACGGGGCCCCTGGGTGCTACTCCCATTTGGCCTATGTGCCCTGTCACAGCAGCTGGTGCAGGGGGAATGGGCAGGCACAGCAATCTGGGCCCAGCTCCCAGCCACCCTCCCAGGGTCAGAAGCTGCCCTTGTGACAGACAGAAACCCCTGCCCTAGCACCTAGACACCTGGAAGGTCATGGCTAAGCCTGAAGCCCAGGCTTGGAGCTCTGTAGTGGGCAGAGCAGAGGAATACAAGATGACAGCTATGTTCGGCCTCCTAACACCCATATGCTTAGCAGGAAGGGAGCAGCCACTCACCATTGTCGCCCCAGTCAGTGTTCCAGGAATTGCCAACCAGCCAGTAGGGGGTGCCATTCTCCACTCCCCAGCCCAGGATGCGAACAGCATGGCCTCCCACCATTTCTCCAGTGACGTGCTGGTACACTCCTGAGAAAGGAAAAGCAGTTCAGGCTGAGACCAAGCCACTGCCCCACCCCTCACAGTATCCCCCCAACTCAGCTGGTGCCCCCCTCAGGGCAGACGGGGTCCAGGAAGTCCCAAAGGCCTGCCATTGTCTTCAAAGGGATTCTACAGGCAGCAAGTTATTTAAATGTATTTTTAAAAGACCAACACACACAGGTATGTTGTGTAAATATTAAAGTGGAGCTAACAAAACATGCCTGTTGGTTGCCTTTAAAACCAGAATTATAAATTCTAATTTAAGAAATATAATGTTTTAAAACACCAATTATCTGTCTCACGTAACTGGAACTCCATGTAACGTTTTATTTGTTAAAAAGCCTTCTGTGGCTGAAAGAGTTAAACTACTGCTCTGGGGTCATCCTGGAGGGGGAATGCAGGAGAGAGGCTGGCTGAAGAGCTCCAACCGGGCTTGCCCCTCCTGATTCACTTGCTCAAGCTGGAAATATAGCCTTTTATAACACAGGTGGGGGCTGTGTTAAGAACTACCAGCTTTATAAATATAGTTTTTTCTCAGGGGAGCAGAGTATAAGGGGACTACAAGGCAATGGGAAAAAAATACAGTAAAAAAAACTAAAAACAAGTATTTTTTTTTGCTTGTCAGAATTATCTTCCTTTGTCTAATCCTTGTTTGTAAGAGTTGAGAGCTTTCAGTCTAGCAGAATGTACATGAGACAGAAGCGGTCAGCCCAGACTGCTCATCTGGGCCTGGGGTTTCTCAGACAGTTCTTGGGCCGAGGACAGTCCAAGGGCAGTACCACGTGGCACACAGCAGGCGCTCCCTGCCTCCTCATCCACTGGATGGTCAGCATGAAGCTAGGGCTTTGCCAAGACAAAGAGGAATAAAGTGAGCCGCTCTGTCCAGACACCCAAAACCTGCAGTTACACTGTGATGAATAAGCTGATAAAACAATGGAGGTGTGAATGGAGGCGGGGCCAGGGGCCAGGGGCTGCAGAGAGGCAAGGAAAGGCTTCCCTGAGACGATACTTGGGCTGGCTGTGAAGGGATGAGTGCCACGAGCAGGGATTGGCCATGTATTAATAGAAACCCTTTGGAGAGGGGCTCTGAATAGCACATGCAGACGAGGCAAACAGGTGCAAGAGAGCAGAGCAGGGGCAGCTGCTGAGAGCAGCGATTGTGAGCATCAGGCCAGCTGCAGAGGGGTCTGCAGAGCCGGGCGAGGGGAGGCCCGAAGCGGCCCTTCTCCTGCACACCCACCTTCCTCCTCTGCTCAAGCCCTGCTGGCCCACCTGAACCCAGATGTCCTGTGCACACGCCCCACCCACCCACCCACGATGCCATCAGGGGTCGATACACACCAGACTTGTACATCAGGAAGTCTGAATACACGGAGAAGGCCGCCTCCACCGGGCCATTTTTGTAGATCTCCGCCATGATCTCCTTCTCGTCACTGGGGACGCTGTAGGCGTCGCATCCTGGCAAATGAACCAGGAAGTGGGGTGAGGCATACCTCCCACAGCTCCAATCAGCCAATCATGCCCCGATTCACCAGGAGCCACCAGGCAAAGACTGAGCAACTAGGGGACCTGCCAGGCCTGGAGGGGGGTTGAGGAGGATGGGGGCAGTGGTGGTAATTAGGGACCCCCATGGGAGGAGTGATTGAGCTGCATCTGGAAGCTGAGAAGTGGGAGACCACGGCCTTGGAGGGCACAGCGGGACCCAGGAGGACTTGGCCAGGTCACTCCCCTGTAAAAAGAAGGCTCTGGACCCCTCCAACTCTTAAGAGTCTGACTTGAAAGCAACATTCCTGAGACGGAATTCAGGGTGGACACAGAACACACAGCAGGTACGCAAGCGAGGCATGAACACCCTTCCTTTCTGCAACCCGGGTGGCTGATTCTAAGACTCAGCTGCCCTGGCCTCTCTCCCTCTGGCTGGGGAAGGCCATCAGCAGGTCTCTGGCAGGCGCGCTTACCGAAGTGTTTGTCTTCTTTGTACGATGGGCTGTAGCCTGGCTCGCAGATCTTGCTGCACTTGGGAGTGTCCCCGCCCTCCCCTGAGCATGGGGGCCGGGAGCCATTCACGTGGTGCTCACAGGGAGGAATGGAGTAGGGTCTGCAACCTGTCACCAAGTAGAAAGGAGGGTGTCAGCCAGCAGCCCCTACATAGGCCCCTCGATGCCAGAAAGGATCAGGGTGATGGCTGGTGGGGACAGTAGTTACCCACCCAGGCTGCGGCCTGGGTCTGTTCTCCCACCCGTTGTGAATTCTGCCATTGAGGAGGTGGGCTCATCTTTCTACCCTGTGTTTTGGCCCAGCACTCTTGCCTTTAACCCTCAACCTTCTTCGCTTCATGGTGGAAAATGAAACCATTAATAAATAATCATTATTATTGATTGTTTATAAAACCCATCTGGCCAGGCAGGGACTCGGGGCAGACACTCACCTACATGGGATTCATAGAGGCCCCCGGAGACCAGACCTTGTTTCTTCCAGAAGTTCCAAGCACCGGAGGGAAAGCCCCCATTACAGCTAAGAAAAGAGCCATTCATTAAAAGTCATTACGACAGAGGTGCTGGACCACTGCCTGGGGAGCCCAGCGGTTCTCCCACATCCTGAGAGACCCCCCATTCATCCTCCTGGACTGTCCCTTCCTCCAGGGA